AGGGGAAAGCCAAATGAAAAACAAGCAGACACAATTTTTGGAAACAAATTTTAAATGAAAGAATAAAGTTTTTAAGAAAATTAAAATTAGTGTTTTTTGGTGCAAAACCTTAATTTTTTCAAATAAACCTATGGGGAAAATTTTGTTTAAAGTAAAAAGTTGAAGATTATCCCCGGAAATATTATAAACCGAAATTTTTAATGAAGAAGGTAGCGGTGAAAGAATAAAAACATAAATACAAGAACATTTTGTTATATCAATTTTTTTCACCATGTTTAAATTTTCTTGTTCTACTTATTAGACAGTAATTGGTCTAAAAGGTTTTTTGTTTGCCTAAAATTGGGGGGTTTATCTTATTGATAAATAAGGACATGGGATTAAATTTCTTTTGAAAAAATTTTTGATTTGAATAGAACGGTCATTTCTATTTTATTGGGTTTACGAGGTAAACTGCTCTTTGGGGAACGTCATCACTATATATCAGATTGTTGTATAAAAATTTTTCTGTTAAGTTTAAAATTGAGTTTGTGAGAATATTTTAAAATTTTGGGATTTATATTTTTTAAAATGGGTGTATATACCCGGTGTACATGTATTTAATTGAGCTGATGTCTAAAGTGGAATATTTGTTTTGGTTGAATTTACTTTAATTAGGTTGAGTTTACAGCTGAAAAGCTTCTTTGGGGTCTGTGGCAATCCCATTGGAAAGGAAAACGGGCTTTGCCCTTAATTTTGGTAACTGAAAAATTTTGAAAACATCACACTTAAAAGGGTTTTAACACGAAATTAAATATGGGAGTATTTTTCCTAAAAAAGTGGAAAAAAATTTTAAAAATGTCACAAAAAAATTAAACTTTTCCTTTAAAGAGGCTATCATCCCTTTTTTTTTTTCCATCAACCTGAAAGGTAGGGGGCATTTTTTTAAACCAAACCCCATTTTTTTTTAAAACTCAAAAAAAAATTTAAGTTTAAATAAAGGAAAGCAATTTTGGGCTTATAAACCTCGGGCAAAACCCAAATTTTTCCCAGTAGCAGATGAAGTTCTTTTTTTGAAGAATACTTTAAACCAGATAAGACATCAATAGTCTCGCCCAAAGCGGGGAAATTTGTATCCCCTTTGCGGTTTTTCTGTTGTTTAACCTACACCAATCAACAACAAAATCTAAGTAGGCACCTGTAGGTTTTTTCGTACAATAACATCATTTGAGTAAAAAGGCGAAATAGATTCCCTATAAATATTGGCATCTAACATTTCTGCTGATGTGGCTGCCTAACTCCTCATTATAAAGCGGAGGTATTCGCGATACGGTTCTTTGAAGGAGTTTTATCTTCCAATTCTATATGATTTTCAATTAAATATCAGTGGTTTGGATTTCTTTTAGTAGATTTACAAAAAAATGCCCTCCATTTACCAAGAACCTGATTAAAGTCTTAAAGTTTGTTCTGGTGTTAGAATTGGAGGAATCAACTGAAATGTCCTTGATTGAAGGTTCTGAAAAAGGGAACATCAAGGGGAAAAAATAAAATAAGAAATATCATCTATCAGCTTTAGCCCTTCAGTAATAGTAACAAATTTCTGACTTTGGTTTTGATTGTCAATATCCTACGCAGTCATGTTACAAACCTTGACTCATAATTTTTTTACAAAAAAGAAACAGCCATTATGGTTTTGATGACAAACGTGGACAAAATGTATACCCCTTTCAAAGATTTCAAGGACTTTCAGTAACTACAGAACATATAGACTGATCAAAGATTTCCTCAGCAATTGCCATTAAGTGTGATACTCTCAAATGGAGGTATTTTTAACACTTTTCTTTCCACACACCTTTACAGGGTAAGTATGAGATTCAATTACTATCCATAAGCCATCCCGCCACTGTTCAGGGATAAATAAATTTTCCTCATGTAACTTCCTTCAACAAACATTTTTACAAACGGGCGAAGTAACATTTGTTCAATAATTATTGGACAAGAAAGATTAAAAATCATTGTTATGGTATTTGGGCCAGAGTAGGAATGTGAAGGTTTCAAAAGAAGATAAAAAAGAAACAATATCGTTGCTTCAATATAACCCTGAATAATTTCAGTAAGAACCAAACATTTGCAATAGAGAGGAGTAAGTCTAAAGTTTGGAATCTAAAGCTTTAAAGTAGCCTTAAGGTATTTAAAAAATCTCAAATGCAGACTGGACTAATGGTGGAAACCATAGAACCTGAATCAAGCAGACATTTGGGAAGGTATTTAAAAGTTTACAATAACACTGTTGTTCATGTTGCAGGTCCAATAAGATTTCTACTACATTAAACTAATGTTGAGTCCCTACTTGATTTATTTACTAATGATTTGGGCTCAAGTGACACTAAGATTACCAACCTCTATTCTGCCCGAACAGAGGCGGTTATCAGTTGATTTGGTTCGAATTCCTAGGGTATATTCTTACCATGACCTCTGTCCTCTAACCTCTAGAATAAGATCTAGGACTAAAATTTGTGTTGTTATTGTTGGGTGTTGCCCCTTGATTGTGTGAGAATTACTGTTTTTTTTGTTGTTACTGTTATTGTTGCTGCTGCTGCTGCCTGCTGCTGCTGCTCTGCTGCTGTTGTTGTTGTTGTACCTTTTTTTTTTTTATTTGTGTTGGTTCCAAAATTATTGTGTGAACTTTGACCTGAAATTAGAACTCAGATATTCTAATTTCTGAAGTATCAAGTTAAACTGGAATCCTATTGATTCAATAGTACCCTTAAAAAATGAAAGTTTAGATTCCATATTGGTTAAATTTAAAGAATCCAACCCTTTTTTTCTAAAAGCAGACAGTTGTTGCTCAATAAAAAAGGATTTCAGCAGACAATGGTGTATATTTAATTGTATGCTTATTTGATGGGACAGAAGACAAAATTTTGTTTGAGTAGAAGTTAAGTTAGAAGTCTCTTTTCTACTTTCCTTATCTCTCGAAAATAACAAATTTTTAGTCATCAAGAGGTCCCTACTTAAAACCTAGTCTGAAATTTCAGAATCAAAATATAACCTGTCCCCCAATTTTGAAAGCAAAAATTCATTCCCTTTTACCCGGGGGTTGGCCTTTGTCAATAAAAAGACTGTAAAAGGGTTTCTTTAAAACCCCACGCATAGTAGTTACTTTAATCATTTTGGGGTTCTGTCTAAAATTAAAGAATCAAAAATCTTCTTTTGTTTAAGCCCCTGAAAACCCTAACATCAAGTTTTCCCCAAAATTTTCTTGACAGTTTGCATTTTGAAAATTTAAAGGGGACTGGGCAGATCAAAAGCTGTTTTCCCCCTTAATGATCCCCCAATAACTGGGGGAAAAGTAGACCTTGTTAAAATCTGGATTTTTGTCAAAAGACATTGTTCGTCATAAACTCCAAAAAAACCCTTTTGGGAACTTCACCCTTTAGATAAAGGTTCATCTTCCTGAAAAAAAGGAATCTTGGAATGACTGAATGGGGCATTTTTACCCTGATTAGGAACAGACAAGGAGAGACCAGGCGTAAGAAGCCATAAATCGATTTGCAAATTCCCGGATTCAGCCATAGATCCCAGTTGCTAATGGGTAACCAAGACACTCAATTACGGCAAAGGAATAGGTGGGATTATACATATTTTGTACCTGTAATTGGCAAATAACGGTGCCCCTGTACCAGAAATATCAAATGGCACAGTTGATATGGTAGATATGGAAACGAAATAAGTTTTCTTTAATATTGGGGGTTATAGTCTTGGGTATAAGCATATACCCCGTCTCCAATGATTTTCAAAATTTCCTCCATATCTGGCTGAGGTGAAGTGCTATCCAAGCTAGATTTACTTTCTTCTTCCAAACTTTAAAAAAATCAATATAATTTAAAACACAAATAAGTAATTGTGTTTTACACTATTTTGGTATTCAAAATATTTCTTTTTCCAAATATTGTCACATCAAAATAAAGAATTGTCTAAGAACTAGATCAACATAGAGTGGGAAAATATTTGTAACATATGTCATTTTTGTCTACAAACTAGGTCAATTGATCTATTAACTACCTGTATCTATAGTCCGTTTTACACAAGCGGTCAATCAAAAACAAGATCGAATAACCGGATCCGACAAAAGATAAAACCAAACACGATATTTTCTTTGTTACCATTTCAATCTTTTCATTCATACCGTGAGTGCATTTATTGTATTAGTATAATGTTTCGCGGGGATTTTAGGGTCATTCACGTGAAATATTAGTGAACACATTCATACAACCTTTTAACTTACAGTGACATCTCATACGAAATAGACTATAAAATAACATTACAACAGTTAGGCAAACAAGCGACGACACAACAGTTAGGCAAAAATACCAACAGTACAACATAACACGGAGGATAAATATGCCAGTGATAAACAGAAAACGATACACAGGTTACAGCATGAAAACAAAAATCGGTAAAGAAGCAACCCTACTAAGCCCTTTCCTTCAAGTATTGTGCTCATAACAATTCATCGTTTACATAACAAATGATTAGTTTTATTTTACATTTTTATCAAAGAAATGTTGAGAAAAATTTAAAATAAATTATATGCGGTGTTTTTTCATTGTCTGCATGTTTACTTTAACACTTTATTTTTTACTAGAGTGAAATACATCTAGCGTATTTCACTGATGTTTTGTCGGACTACTTTCTTCCAAATTAAGCTAGTACACAAAATCTAAGTGTAGGTCTTCAAAAGTGTAATGTTAAAAAGACAGAAATGTATATAATAAGCAGACAATTTAAAAATTATCAATAAACTAATCTCGTGATTGTGTTTCACTGCACCTATTTGTCATTTTCAACTGTTAAGGGTATTAAAAAATATATCCAGAGAGTTTGTTTGATCTAGTCAAATGCATGGTCGCATTTGATTAAATGATTTAAGAGGGAGATAGGACAAAGGTACTTACTTCAACTTACCACTGTTTAGACAACTCTGAAGATATTAAATAAATCTTATAATTTTTAAATTATAGAAAAATGCACAAAACCGGACAAGGTGTCAAATGCAGGACTTAAAAAAAGATACGAACCCCAAGAAAGGTTCAATGATGGGGATAAAGTAGTATACACGTGTCAACCAGGATACACAATGGAAGGTATAACAATGCAAAGGTGGTGCCGAGAAGGAAACTGGACGGACGCTCTCTTTACATGCAATCGTACGTAGGAATTTTCATTTCTAAAAACACATTTTAAAGTCTTCCTTTGCAAAAGGTTTTTCATTATTACCGTGAGGAGTTTAAATAGTAATACAACCTCTACGAAATGGTTGTTTTTATGTGACAAAGCTTTGAAAAAGTCATATTAAAGAAAGTCATGGCGGAACTACTTATTTTAAAGTGTGCGCACCACTTCGAATATTTTCAAAGTCCATGTACATATGGCTTTGAAACTTTGCACACTTGTTCACACTCATGCGCTAAACATGTACACGGGAAGGGAATATTCTTACAAGCATTTTGACAGAATTATGCCCCTTTTCCAACTTAGAACTTATGTTAAAATTTGGGACCACCTCGAATATTTTCAAATTACATTGGCATATGGCTATGAAACTTTGCACAAGTGTTCATCATCATAACCGAAACCTGCACACAGAATAAGATTACTCTACCAAGCATTTTGACATGTCTGTGCCCTTTATCCGACTTAATTTTCAGTACCACCTCAAATATTTTTTCCAATTCTATTGACATCTACACTTGACACGTTGCAGACTTGTTCACCATCATGTCCCAATTAGTGCACTAGAAAAAATTACTCTTTCGAGCTTTGTTACATAATTGTACCCCATTTTCGACTAAGAATTTAAATTAACGTTACAGTTTGCTTATCACCTCAGATAATCCATCAAAATATGACTTTGGAATTTTGCACAGATGTTTACCATCATTATCTCAACTTGTGTTAAGAATAGTCGAGCACGCTATCCAACAGACAGCTCTTGTTTAGATGCATGCCATATTTGCGGCGCAAATTTTGCAAAGATACAACTGTTCCCAAATCCTGTTAGGTATAGATCAGTATATACCATCCATATCTGTGTACGGCTTTGCTGATGACCACATTGCTAGTCAACGCTTTCGACCAACTTCAGTGACCAATGAACTTAACGCTATAAAGCAACTTGAAGACAGTGCTGTGATTATCAATGACTGGATGAATGCCAATAAACTCAAAATGAACACCACTAAGACAGAATTCATTATGTTTGGTAGTAAAGCCCAACTTGGTAAATGTTCAATTAAAGAAATTGATATCGCCGGTGATAAAATTCAAAATGTCAGTGTCATTAGATACTTAGGTGCCTACTTAGACGAGGGCCTAAGATTCTCAACACATGTTAAGACCAAGTGTAGAACTGCTATGTTTAATTATTTGAGAATAAAGAGCATTCGCAAATATCTGACTCAGGACGCCACAAAAATCCTAGTATTGTCGCTTGTAATCTCACATTTGGATTATTGCAACGCTATATTGTTTGGCATTTCAGAAAGTGGGTTACAGAAATTACAACGTATCCAGAATATGTGTGCTAAACTTGTTTTGCAACGCGGAACATATGATAGTTCCAAAGACCCTTTGTTGGAACTGCATTGGTTACTAATTAAAGCTAAGATCAATTTTAAAATATAATGTACAATGTATAACTGTTCTATCGGCAATGCTCCGGCTAATCAAACAGAAATGTTACACAAGCCTGTCATAAAAAAGACCAAATCTCAGATCTGTTGATAATATGGATTATTGTTTTGCTGTCCCCTTTAACAAAAGGAAAACATTTCACGACAGAAGTTTTAGTACTGTTGGTCCAACTCTCTGGAATAAATTGCCTCTGTATATAAGACAGTCTTCGACTTTGGACATGTTCAAGAAAAATGTCAAAACCTACTATTTTAGAGATTTTTACGCATTGTTTTAAGATTGTGATTGGGCTGTAAACTGATAGAGATGTGGAAATGTGTTTGAAATTTTACTGAAATAACCATTAATTTTTATTTTCTTTTAAATTATTTTTTATTGTTATTTTTTAACTATTTTTTCTTTTTTTTAAGTTTTTAATACTTTATATTTTACACGGCTGATATCTTTAACATATTTTTTTGTAGTTCATTTGCCATGCATATGTGTTTTTTTTTTTTATCTATATGTACATACTTTTATTATCCTTTTGTACAACGCCATTGAATATGTATATAGAAATAGGCGTTTAATTAAATAGAACAGTTTCAGTTTCAGTTTAGATCTACCTAGCCTACCTAATAAGACTTCTGTCACAGATATTATTAATCTATTGAAAATGCGATCCGTTTTCTATGCTCATGGATTTACTCCAGCATCAGAACCTCGGTATAAGACACAATTGGTCTCCATCGTCACTGAAACCTGTTAAATATTGACCCTGATCAGATTTCGAGAGAAAATTTGTTTATCATAAAATACTGACTTAAAGTATACTTTATGAAAGCTAATGAAGCTTATTTGCAGCATTCTAAAGTCTGTTTTCCCGAACCGGTGTCACATGAAGAAATCGTAGGACTCGAACTCATGATCCTTGGTTTGGGTTGCGAAAGAGACACCTTAACAACTCGACCACCTTTTCCCTAGAAATATCCATGTTGATTAAATAAACCTTGTTTATCAACCTGTAGTGCAAGACGTATACTCGTTTTGTTGCTATTGTTGCATCACATATTTTGAAGAAATAATCGACAAGAAGTAAATATGTTCTCGTGCTTCTCTAGTAAATTCAAACCAAGTGACAACAAGTTTGCCTGTAAAGAGAATTCCACAAATGGCAGCTGCATTTACGATTAAAGATATCAGACTTGAAATTAAGTCACGATTCAACTTGAAAAGGAAAGTTAAATGTTTCTATTTCTAACTACAGGAATAACTTTCATCTTGAGGTATCAATCATCATATTTCAGTCGCGGCTACCACCACTCATAAAATATTAATGCTATTGTTACGCGATGAAATCAAATCATGTATTCATATGAAAAAAACCCACACAAATCCTTAAATATCCTCTACAGATATAAATATTTGTTGGGGCTTTCTTGGCTTTGTGGTTTGTAATTTACTACTGTTTTGGATTTTACAAAAATATACCTAGTGAGTTTGTTTGATCTAGCCAAATGCATGGCCATATTTGATTAAATGTATTAAAAGGTAGATAGCGCAATGGTACTCTCACCAACTTAGCATTGTTTAAACAACCATGAAGATATGAAATAAATCTTATAATAGTTTTAAAATAATAGACAAATGCACAAAACCGGACAAGGTGTCAAATGCAAATCTTAAAAAGAAATACAAGCGTAAAAGAAGGTTCAAAGATGGGGATACAGTAGAATACAACTGTCAACCTGGATACACATGGGGAGGTGCAACAAGGAAAAGGTGGTGCCGAAAAGGAAACTGGACGGGCGTTCTCTTTTCATGCAATTGTACGTAAGAAATTTCATTATTTAAAACATAAAGTCTTCATTTGGGCAAATTGTCTTCATTAACTTCCTTTTTACTGTGGGCTAAGAATTTAAATAGCAATATAACCTCTACTGGACGGTTTGTGTTTGCTGTAAGAAAGCTGGAAAAAAATCACATTATTATTCAGTATCATGTTATTTTAGAAGTAGTATACAGTAAACTCCGCTTATAATGAACTCATTGGGACATTCAAAATATGTTCCTTATATCCGGAGTTCCTTGTAAGCATATAGCGAATTAGTTCTTTGTATCAGGAGTTTTTATATAGCGAACAGATTTACATATAACGAACTGATTGTTTACCATTGTCCGCCATTTTGAAGATCTTTTGATTAAGAAAAAATAGTCCATTGTTTCTATTTTAGACACAATACCCGAGAGCGTACTTTTTGGAATTTGAAAATCATTGCTATTTCAGTTTTAGTTTTGATATAATATTTTGTTAACTTTCTAAACTCTTTTCGTTTTCTTTCCATGATTGAGAATAAACAAGATTTTCGAATTTTCCTTCCTTTTATATTGAATATCTTCTATTATAATTTAAGGGTGACTTTTAGTCATGTAAGATATAGATTATTATAATTATTTTATTCGAGCAAAACTATTGAAAAAAAGAAATAAATAACCGTTTTATCTTGGTGAAAAGAGCTCATGCTAAAAATATCCTAAATAGAAAACTATACAAATTCATTTTAATTATGGAAAGCGGTATGGGACCCTTCCGCTGTTACTATATAATTCAATGTAAATGTATTATGACGGAAATCCGCCGTTAGAAATACCCGCTCCGCCATAAGCTATCTATTTCGCCGGTATACTTGTCCAGCCGAAAGATTCCGCTGTTAAAATGAAACTGACGGAAATCTGTCGTTTAAATACCAGCCCCGGCGTTATAAATACCCGCCCCGCGGTTAGATATATCCATAATCCGCTGTTAATTTTCAATTTATTAGCCCTTTCGCTGCCAGAGGGTTATTGTTTTATTGATCACCTATTTGCCAGAGGTTTTCTAAGAAATTACTATATTATTAATTAACATATATTATTATTATTTGTTATTAGTATTATAATAATTATATATGTTTTCAAATCTGTGAGTATAATAATAATTATTGTCGACGGTATAATTTTCTTTATATTTTGTATTATTTTTATCATTATTATTAATAATTTATTATTATTACTATTATTATTATAGAAACGGCTAAAGCCGTCCATATGGCAAATACGCCGAAAATAACAGGGACGGCATGAGCCGTCCCTATGGCAGCCGAATTGACTCGCCGTTACAATGTAAAGTAAACACTACTCCGCTATACCGCCCTTAGAAAACCCGCCATAAGATAAACTACCGTAAAATCGATTAAACCACTACGCCGAATCGCTCTTTGCTTCTGACGGAAAACTGTTCTGTTCTGTTCTAATATGCACTTCATCGGATTTTTTCACGCCGGTATTGTTACTATTTTTAACCAGGTTTTCCGAAGGAAAAATCTGGTTATTAGATTGATTTATGTCGGCGGGCGGGCGGGCGATCAGATGGGCGGGCGTCAACAATTTCTTCTGTGCGCAACTCCTCCTACATTTCTCAACGGATTTATACCAAACTTTCACAGAAGCTTTGTCATCAAGTGTACTGGTGCATATTGTCAGGGTTTTGTGATTGGATGACATTTGATTTAATTATGGCCCTTTGTTTTTTCCCTTATATAGAATATATAGTGAACAATTTCTTCTGTGCGCAACTCCTCCTACATTTCTCAAAGGATTTTGTTCAAACTTTCACAGAAGCTTTGTCATCAAGTGTCCTGATGCATACTGTTGGGATTTTGTGATTGGATAATTTTTGACCTAATTATGGCCCTTTGTTTTTTTCCTTATACAGAATATATAGTGAACAATTTCTTCTGTGCGCAACTCCTCCTACATTTCTCAAAGGATTTTGTTCAAACTTTCACAGAAGCTTTGTCATCAAGTGTCCTGAGGCATACTGTTTGGGTTTTGTGATTGGATAATTTTTGACCTGATTATGGCCCTTTGTTTTTTTCCTTATACAGAATATATATAGTGAACAATTTCTTCTGTGCGCAACTCCTCCTACATTTCTCGAAGGATTTTGTTCAAACTTACACAGAAGCTTTGTCATCTAGTGCCCTGATGCATATTGTTGGACTTTTGTGATTGGATAATTTTTGACCTATTTATGGCCCTTTGTTTTTTTCTCTTATATAGAGTATATAGTGAACAATTTCTTCTGTTGCCCAACTGCTTCTACATTTCTCAATGGATTTTGTTCAAACTTTCACAGATTAGCTTTATCTTCAAGTGCCCTGCTGTGTATTATCAGGGTTTTATGATTGGATAAGTTTTTACCTTTTGCCTTATCATTGCCCTTTGTTTTTCCATAAAATTTAATAATTAGTGTAATATATCCTATTAATCACAACAAACTTTATTTAGTTATAAAACAGAAACTCTCAAGGTTGTTGCATGCCTGCCAGCTCATCTGCCTGATTTAAGGTCCTGTAGAGTCAAGGTCAAGGTCATTGTTGCTAAAAATAGAAAATCTGTTTCCAGTCAGGTCACTGTTACTAAAAATAGAAAATAGGTTTCCGTCAATTACTTGTTTAGAATAAGATATTTTTATGAAATTTGTGGTAAAGCAAGTTTTATGAAGACCTCACTTGGGATGGCTTTTTGGCTTCCTTGGGTCAATGTTACAGTTACTAAAAATAGAAAATTCATTAATCATGATTTACATTGCACATAGTTTGTTGCTTGTATTTGTATTTCAACTACAACATATTTATCTACAATGGTGATAATTGAAAACCTGGTTTCGTGGCATTGCCATGATTCTTGTTAGTAACTTTCCGGCCGAATGAAAACTTTCATTCGGCCGGAAAGTTACTAAAAATAGATACAATACCGGTGAAGTGACAGAATTGAACTGAATTGAACAATTTTCCGTCGTTAGCTTCATTAATATTCATATCCAAAGAGCGAGATTTGTAAAATGTTTTCATTGGTCAATGCCAATGTCACTCCTCCTTCACGAAGTTTACATTTATAAATAACAACAACAACAACAAGTGTTAGGGAATTGTCAAACATCTAGTCAGAAGTTTCTTGATTATTACACATTAGGAAGAGAGAAGTTTTTTTTATTTTAAAACTATCACACATGAGGAAGTGAGTATCCATAATTTCTTTATTTGTAATTTGCTTAATTTAATTGAAAATGAACCAAAGTAGTGGGTGGGGTATGACGATTATTTTGAAGTTTTATAAAAAATCTGGAACTTAACTGTATTTTTAGTCCCAGACAAAATTTCAATTGCGTTTTCTGTGAGAATATAACATGTATGTCATATTATATTAGGCCTAGCAATGAGCAAACTAAATAACTAGTTCATTTGTGATTTGGTAGTGCTGCTCTTGTTGCTGCACACAGGGTCTTTCAAATTATATTTAATTACCTTTTTTAATCACCATTGATTATATCTCCATATTTCACTTTATAATGTACATGTATGTTAAACACTAAAAAATGAGGGGTGACTGAAGTTTTTCAATCAAATTCTAACAAAAAAGGTTTGGGTGTCTGCAACAAATGGCTTAGGATGAAGTGTCTGAGGGGTGAACTGTCTGTAAATCTATTGAATGACTATAATAAATGCTGCCTTGGTTGTAAAAGATTTGATAATGAATATCGGTACACATGAAATCGAACCTGAAACCCTGGTTCTGGTCCTTCATGCCATATATGCATCTTATATGTATACTTATAATACTGCACGTTTATAATGCCATTTTTCTTTGGATAATCGTGACGTTTATATAGTTTTATAGCTGCTGTTCATTCATGCAGAAATCTTACTTCTTTTTCTATAAACATGATGCTTGCTGTAACGTAACGGCTTGGGTTATATTTAAAAATAGCCGTTTATATAGGGCCATATAACCTGTCAATGATCTTTATAACTAATTATATATACACTTATATGGTATGTTCGGCATATAGCTTGTCATTTTTGGAAAAATAAGTTAACTTGTATGAACAATTTAGTGGTATTGTTGTGCAAATACTGTTGCTCATTACTCAAACACTCAATATAAGTATTATATTCAATACTCATGGCGTTCATATTTGGTCCAAATTAAATGATGCATGATGGCATTGCACTATAACTTACAGAGACCATAAAAGATAAAAAGTCTTCAAAGCCCATATCCCTATGTATTAGACCTAATGACCTACATATACATCTGCATTGAAGAATCAAAATAGGTTTCAAGGTGAGCAATTCTCTTACAAATTAAAAAATTCTTTTGCATAATGCTAATGATATTTAACATTTGAATTTTAAACACAGGTAAAAGAATGTGTCGTGTACAATGCAAGGTCCTACATATGTGATGGCAAGTTCTTTCAAGAATGGTGGGGAAATGATATACAGCAAATTTAAAGGAGGTTTACCAGCAGGTCATTTGTACTGTGGGAACTGTGGAGGTAAAAGTGAAGCAGGTATGTCGTAATTTTTCTTTGAAGTAAGATGTCCTCTCAGATAATTTCCTCTTAAACAACATGTGGTTTGAGTGTTCGTGGCCGAGTGGTTAATGTTGTTGTCTTCAAACCACTTGCCCCTTACCGCTGTGGGTTCGAGTACCGACAGGGACTTTGAATTCTCTCATGTAAGGAAGCTATTAAGCTAGCTTATGGAATGTTATTGGTTCTACTCGGGTATGGGTTTGTTCCTGAAATAATGCACGGAAGAGTAGTAACCTGAGGTCTTCCTCAACCAGTAAAGCTGTAACATCACCATATATATGACCTATACTGTGTCGGTGTGATGTAAAAACCAAATAAAAACAAATAAAAAAGAATGTGGTGGTTTCAAAAGTAAATGCGAAAATGCTAAACATGTTGAATGATCATATATTTAAGGAAATACTTGTGTTTATTTCTTTCTGTTTTGAACAATGTTTGTTTTAGTGTTTATATGAACATATGTTTTTGGTGTTAACATTAATATTTACAACATCTGCTATTTGTACTTTATAACTAAAGATAAATTAATTTACATTTACTCGGCTTTCTCATTACATATTTTTTGACTTTCAGACTTTGCCTTCATTATGAATATCAACCTTTTCCCAAGTGGCACTGAATGAAATTCAAGAGGATTGCAATTGTACAAATTTGATCATGTGACTAAGGAAAGGGGACACTGTCTCTTGAAAATCAGATCTACAATTTACTTGTCCAGAGTTATTAGGTAAGATTAACACGTTGATACTGGGATTTTCCCATCTGTAGCAGGGTCTGTTAAAGGGTGAAGCTCTCGCCATATTATTTTTCCACAAATTAAAGGGAAGTTTCCTTCCCCTTCCTGATAAAAAACCTTTTATTCGAAATAATGTAGATGAGAATTAATAGTATTCAAGAAAAATTAAAGGGACTCCACTTAGGTTTGTTTTTTACGTGATGGGACTGGAATTTTTGTTAGTGTTTGATGTAGGTTTATAGCAATTGCTTGTGACAATAATTTGTTGCTTTTTTCCAGAATGTTTGTTGTATATTATGACCTACATGTAAGTTTGAAAAGCATTTTAAAGCTTTAAACTTAAATCAAGCTAATATTAATTCCACTGGAAATCAATTGTCATTTCAATTCCGAGTATCTTTCCATATTTTAAAAGACTTACTATGGTTTAGGTGATTGAATTATAAATGATAATGACAAATGTTGATGAAAAAATATCAAAACTACCTAAAATATGAAAATTGCCCCACTCTTTTTATAAATGAGAAGGATATTTAAAGAAGTTCATGGGACATAGCCATTGTTGATTACTTATGTGAGATCAATTATATTATTGAAAACAAAAGTGACAAAATGTAGTAATTTTCATGTGAGCTTCTAGGATGGGCATAATGTCACTTAAGCCTTTTGGATCACAATGTAGCTATGACTAATATGACTTATTATGGTCATCATCTGTACCAAGGTATTGAATATATATCAAAAGTGGATAAAAGAGTGCATTTTTTACAATATGTTGGAATGTTTGCAATATATTGTGTCTTAAATAGTTTATTGCAATTTTGTTTAGAATTTCAACATTTATACCAATTCTTCTGTATTTTTCAGGGACCTGATTACGCAGGATGGATGTTAATATCATCCAAGAATTTGGAGACATGTGCAACTTTATAAAGACTTTACAAAACAAAAATTAACACATACTTAACTTACAACCTCCTGTCAGACATTTCTGCAAGGAATCAATTGTTCCATACATCAAAGGCTTATATAGATTTTGACATTTTTTAAGTTTATGGTACTTTTTATTAATCATAACAAATGGATTCAGAATCTCCTTGTTAGAGATTATGTTGATTATTCAGTTTGAATGAGGGGACACATTCAGAACACCTTGCTTATAACAGTATACCTATAATCCTCTTGCGAAAAAGTTCTGTTATGTCTTTTTTAAAGTAACAAATGAAGAGGGCAGGGAGTAATAAACATATTTATTAGAATTCCTACATATAGGAAATTTAAGTGTATTTCAGTGACTAGTGTAATAATAATTTCAAAAGACGTCTCAGAATATAAATAAACAATTACAATGTAAATCCCCCCACCAGCATACAATTACAATGAAAGGACTAGAAATAACATAAAAATCATGTATTTGCATTCTTGCTTTGTAAGAACATAGTAGTGTAATCATCAATCAAGTAATGTACATTTTACTTTCATAACTTGAAATATTCTCTATTTAAATGGACTTTTTCCTAACATTTATTTTCTTGTCATGTTATTTGATAAACATGTATAATAATGTACAGATATTTTTTGTGTTTGAATGAAACTTTATATATATTTGTTCTTGTTGTACCAATTGCTTATTATATTTTGTAAACACATATGAAGAGTGCAATTTTCTTTACATATTAAATTTGTTTTAGTATTTCATGGCATCATTTTTGTTATCTGAAATACTGCTTCTCTTATTACCACTTCCCCAACACAAGGTATATTTGAAGATTGTTTATTGGAGTTAGCTTTTCTGTCTTTCATTTCCTTTTTGAATTTTCTTTTTTTATTTTAAATGGAAAATTTGATATTGCACAGTTATGTCATTGCTGTCTGATAACTTTAAAAGTGGTCATATCTTTTTGTTAAATTTCAAAATGTATTTTCTTTATGCTCTGGCAAAACAACCTTTAGAACAAGACCTTCAAGTTAGACAATTTGTTGACCTTTAAAGGCACTTTATGCCTCTGAAATGCTTTTATTTTCATTTTTAGCTCGACTATTCGATAAGAAAAAGTAGAGCTATACTAGTAAATACTTCGGTAAAAATGGCCCATCATTTTCAGACCAAGTGGGCCCAGGGCCCAGTACTTTCAAATTCTTGGCAGATCTCTGCTAGTTACCTGAGCGCCGGCGTAACCACTTATGTTAAAGTTTTTGTAATACCTCAAATATTTGCAAAGTTCATTGACATATGGCTTTGAAACTTTGCACACTTGTTCACCATCATGACCCTGTAGACAAAAGATGGTAACTGTATCAAGCATTTTGACATAATTATGCCTTGGAAGTTACATTTAAGTTTTTGTAACACTTCAAATATTTCCAAAGTCCATTAACATATGGCTTTGAAAATTGCACATTTGTTCACCATCATGACCCCAACCTGTAGACAGGAGGTAACTATCAAGCATTTTTGACAAAATTATGCCCCTTTTTCTACTTAAAATTTACATTACAGTTAGCGTACCACCTCAGGTATTTTCTTTGACATCTTGCTTTGAAACAAGTTGAAATTTTATACACTTCTTTGTGAGCATAATAGGACTCTCTCGGACTCCAAGACCTATAACATGGATTTGTAAAATAAAATTAGCCATTTTGTGAACTTATAAAATTTCACATTTTCAAGGCTCCTTTACTGTCAAGCATTTAGAATAGTAGAGTGTGCTGTCCTACCGACATCTCTTGTTCAAAAGCTTGTTAATATTGTTGTGCTGTTATATTTTCTAAAAAGCCACTCATTGACCAATTACCTGAACCATTTTTGCTCTTTTTTGCAATTAGTAATAATATAGACTGATATAGTGATTCTGTATACATGGAAAGTAAAATACTACTTTTTTACACTTTGCTACCTTTACAACAAAAGGGCTATGAAGGCCCTGAAATCGCTCACCTGTATATAGGCCCCTGGGCCAATGCCAATTTTAAACCAGGGACTTTTATTTGAACTCACTTGGTAGACAGCCATTAGAAGATGTTTCATGATAAATATCTTAGCTCTAACTCTTTGGGGTTTTTATAAGAAGATTTTTAAATTTTTACTATGTACATGTAGGAAAAAGCAATGATCCCCCCAGGAGGGGCCAATTTGACCCAAGGCTTTCAATTAAACAAACTTGGTTCACACTAACTAGAAAATATTTCATGCTTAGTATCTAAATTCTAGCTCTTTTGGTTTTTTAAAAGAAGATTTTTTAAGTTTTTACTCTATACAAAATAATGAAAATCAATGACCCCCTGGGGTGGGCCAATTTTTATCCCAGGGCTTTTATTTGAACAAACTTTGAAGACATTCACTAGAAGATGTTTCATGCTTAATATCTAAGGTCTTGCTATTTGGTTTTTTATCCCCGCCGATGGAATCGGGAGGGGGATATAGTTTTGGCGTTGTCCGTCCGTCCGTCCTTCCGTCCATCCGAATTTCGTTTCCGGAGTAGTTCTCTGCAACTACCGGCTGGAATTCAACGAAACTTTATGGGAATCATCAATATCAAGAGGAGATGCGCATAGCATTGACTTGTTCTGCTCAGACCCTTTAACTCAGAGTTTTGGCCCTTGATTAGTTATGCAGTATGCATAAAGAGAAAAAATTGTTTCCGCGCTACTTCTCTGCAACTACTGGCTGGAATTCAATGAAACTTTATGGAAACCATCAATACCAAGAGGAGATGCGCATATATTGTCACCTTGTTCCGGTCAGACACTTTAACTCAGAGTTATGGCCCTTGATTAGTTATGCAGTATGCATATAGAGAAAAAATTGTTACCGCGCTACTTCTCTGCAACTACTGGCTGGAATTCAATGAAACTTTATGGGAACCATCAATACCAAGAGGAGATGCGCATATCGTCGCCTTGTTCCGGTCAGACACTTTAATTCCGAGTTATGGCCCTTAATTAGTTATGCAGTATGCATATAGAGAAAAAATCGTTACCGGGCTACCTTTCTGCAACTGCAGGCTGGAATTCAATGAAACTTTATTTGAACCTTCAATACCAAGAGAAGATGCGCATATCATTACCTTGTTCCGGTCAGACACTTTAACTCAGAGTTATGGCCCTTGATTAGTTATGCAGTATCCATATTGAAAAATATTCGTTTCCTCGCTACTTCTCTGCAACTACTGGCTGGAATTCAATAAAACTTTATTTGAAGCTTCAATACCAAGAGGACATGCCCTTAATGTCGCCTTGTTTGGGTCAGACACTTTAACTTAGAGTTATGACCCTTGATAACTTAGGCAGTATACAACCAGAGCAATAATCGTTTCAGTGCTACATCTCTGTAACTACTGGCTGGAATTCAATGAAACTTTATAAGATACTAAGAGGAAATGTGCATATAGTCGCCTTGTTCCGGTCAGATACTTATAACTCAGATTTACTGCCCTTGATTAGTTATGTAGTTTGCATACATCTCATTGGCATTTCCAGATATTACTATTTAACACAAAGTTTTGACTCTGTTATTTCCCTGAATATTTATCAGGTTCAAAGAATACTGTTTATGCCATGATTAATATATAAATAAAGCCTTATGTCTTCAGTTGTTGTGTTAATAATAACCAGTACTCGGCGGGGGATATAAATTCAACGAATTTGCTTGTATAAAAGAAGATTTTTTCAGTTTTTACTATAAACAAATAAGGACAAGAGCGATCAGTGATCACATGCGTCGCCTTATGATGGCCAATTTCATGTTGGGACAAGTTTTGTGACAGACAGACAGACGGACAGTGCACAACTAGACTTGGTACTGATCATTCCTGTAAAGTTTGGATAAAATTGCACCAGTAGTTTATGAGGAGTAGTCTGGACAAGCTTTTGTGTATCTGGCAACACACAGAAAAAAACACCTTTTATCAAAGGGCCATAACTCGGCCAAAAATCATTCAACCGGAAAACCCGTGCAATATGCGCAAGGACTTAAGCTACAGATCAATCCTGTAAAGTTTCATTGAATTTGCATTAGTGGTATTAGAGAAGTAGTCCGGAAAATAAAAATTATTAAAGGGCCATAACTCTGACAAAATCATTAAACCGGAAAATGCTGACAATATGCACAACTAGACTTGGTAATGATCATTCCTGTAAAGTTTGGATAAAATTGCACCAGTAGTTTATGAGGAGTAGTCCGGACAAGCTTTTGTGTATCTGGCAACACACAGAAAAAAAACACCTTTATATCAAAGGGCCATAACTCAGCAAAAATCATTCAACCGGAAAACCCGTGCAATACGGCAAGGACTTAAGCTACAGATCAATCCTGTAAAGTTGCATTGAAATTGCATTAGTGGTATAAGAGAAGTAGTCCGGAAAAAATTATTAAATGGCCATAACTCTGACAAAATCATTGAACCGGAAAATGCTGACAATATGCACAACTAGACTTGGTACTGATCATTCCTGTAAAGTTTAGATAAAATTGCACCAGTAGTTTATGAGGAGTAGTCCAGACAAGCTTTTGTTTATCTGGCAACACACAGAAAAAAACCACCTTTTTATCAAAGAGCCATAACTCGGCCAAAAAGTTTGGATGAAATTGCACCAGTCGTTTATGAGGAGTAGTCCGGACAAGTTTTGTGACAGACGGACAGACAGAGACGTGATCCCTATTTGTCGCAACTACACCCTAGAGGCGACACAAAATTCAAGTTTAATTGTTTATTTATTTAAAAATGTATTTCTCCTTAGAAATTTGACAAAATCCAAACAAAACAGTTATCCCAGAAAGAGTGCATTGTTTTCATAGATTTGACATTGTGACCTAATTTTTCCCAAATGTTACCAAAATCTAAATTTGCCAAACTATAAATAAGACACAATTTCAAAAACAGTTTTAAATTTTAAAGAAAACTGTCACCAGGGATTTTTTGGCTTATTTTATAGCCGTTATTGAGTCATATTCCCAATTGAAAATAGTATATTATTTTCGCAATCCACAGGAAAAAATTCCCAATTGAAAGTTACAAAATAAAAATATTGAATAAAAATTCTAAAATCTTTTTAAAAAAAAATAAGGGCTTCTCCACTGTAATAATGCTTAAATATTTGAAGATGCCATCTTAGACAGTAAATGTTTGCATCCATTTAATCACTGTAAAATTTCAGTCATGCATTTTTTCTCAATTTTTAACAAAACACCGCTGAAATTCCCAATTCCATGGGTATAGGTCATGTTCCCAAAATCCTGGAAAAAATCCCTGTATAGCTTTCTTTACATTTAGCTATGAGCAATATTTATACCTAACCAATATATCATAGATACAAAAATTCTAACAAAGTTTAAAGAAGATCAAATAAATATATAAAGAAGGTTTTTCCTTGATTTAATCTGGTTATCTAGCTTTGAATCATTGATATAAACATGCTTACTATATTTGAAGACAAGTTTTAAAATGTTTTTCTTTGATTTGATGCGGTTAAAGAAACAGTTGTCACTTTTCTTTATTCAAGATGTCTGTTGCAATTTGGTTATATATTAATATATTAAATTACCAGTACCTGAACTTTGGTTCTAATATAGTGTGTATATCAAATTAAGTTTTGTCAAGCTGAAAGTTGTTGTCAGTGCTCCGGAGAGATAGTGTCCTTTTCCAGTTTTATACTTCAAAATAGCAGGTGTCACATTCCAAGCTGTAAAATGTTGCCGCAAACTTCACTTCAATATTGTTATATTTTTCTGGACCTTCAGGATCATTAATTTGAACTGAGTTCCACTATAGTCCGTGATAGGCGGTGTAGGGGATGTTGCACTTTTCCTTTAAAATAGATAGACTCGAGCAAAGTCTTCATTTTTTATGTAAATTTAGAATCTCTCTTTTTCCTGATTTTTTAAAACATACATTTAACCAGTATCTCTTCATATGCAGCTCTATGATTTCAAAGTAAAAACTCTGAAACTGTCTATGTCTCTTGTGTTCTTTATGTAGATTATAATGTGACCTGTAGAAAAATTATGAACCATTAAAGTAAACAATTTATAATAGCTCTGATATGGATAATTCAAAATCTTTTTAGATAGTGATACATAAAAAAATGCCTTTTAATTCAAAATAATTGGATTCTAGTGGCTAACCATCTTATCAACTTAGCCTAAACACAGAAGCTTGAATGTGACAATATTTATGATTGTTATTATCTTTTAAATAGAACAAACTGTACATATATAATGACCTTACTCACCAGTATGTGATATTTTCCACAAAACTACCAAAACATGAAAAAGCAGAAACACTTCCCCAATCTCTCAAAGTTGTGCACACTCTATGACTGTCAGCAAAAACTGTTAATAAAGAGGTTATATAAAACACAAGATTCTGAATATAAATGAAATAATATGTAGTTTAATTAAAAGAAAGTTTAAGCCATCCTGTCATTTTGATGCTTCCACATAAATGAACATACATTTCATGTACTATATTAATACTTACTAAGTTAAAAAAATCATGAAATTATAACTATTGTGACTGTCAGGTGGGCACAGGCTTGACTTTTTCTTTTTCCTACTTGAAAGATAAACTATGCTTATCCTTGAGTTAAGTATTTTAATCACAGCAATTTATTGAAATTCTTACTGAATGTGTTTAATTTGAATAAAAGAATGCATAAACTATGTATGGGAAGGTGTTTTCCTAATAACTGGTCAAGTGAAGTAAGTCTCTTCTTTAAAAACTGCCAGAATTTTTTTAAATTTTTAAATGACACTATATATTCATATTTATTATTGTGATCACCTTCAGTGTATAGAATTTTAAACATATCTTCTTTGTTTTAAGACAAAACATGTTTATTTTATATTTACAAATTTTTAAAAGACTTTATAGAATTATCAATATTTTCTAAAATTAAAATCTTTAAGGTCAAACACATTGAAGAAAGTATATGGGAGTAAACAATATCCTTGAAAACCATTACTTCCTTGAACAAATTGTAATTGAGCTTGATTGTCAAGGGCATTTAAAGGTCACAGTCAAATTTGAATCATTATCATCAGTTTTTTTTTTCATATGTGTTATTTTACAAAAAATGAACAAATCCAATAAATAACAAAGTCTTGACAATTTTAGTAAATTTCAATAATTTTGCCTTGATTGTTAATGTCAATTAAATGTCAATGTCAAAAAAAAAGATTCAACATGTAGGTTTGTCATATGTGTTCTTTGTACAAGCATAAATCAAATATGTACATAAATAACAAAGTAATGACAATTTAAGCTAATTTCAATAAGTAATTTTAACCTTTCTTCATGCCAAAGGTCATATCAGAATACCTCAGCATGTTAGTTTGGTAATAAGGGTTCTTTTGTCCAAAGTGTAAATCAAATCTGTACATAAATAACAAAGTTCTGTCAAAGTTCACTTTAATATTTGATCCTGACAATAAAGGTCATATAAAGATCAAGGTCAAATATATTAATTACTTTACATTTATATTGATAAAGAAGAAAGTCACTGTCACTTTTTCATATGACTAAAGAAGAAAGCCACTGTCACTTATTCACTGACTGGACATTTTTCTTTCTGTAACAGAGGCAGTAATTTAGTGCCCAAAATATCCCAAAAGCATGCAGTTTTGTGTGAACATCTTACCTCCTCTAAATTCTAGAAGTTTTAAGACTCATGACATTTCGATGCCTTGGTGCGAAAGGGTTGTAACTCATAATTTCACCGAAAATGGTTTTATGGTGTTTTTCAATGTAGGAGCAATATACACACATGTTGTAAAAATATTAAACTTGAAAGCTAAAATTAAACTACCAAAAAAGTATATTTGTCCAAAGGTTGTAACTCAAACAGATATATTTTATTGGTGCGAAACAGTTGTAACTTAAGTTACAACCGTTTCGCACCAACATTTTGATAATATTGTGAATAAATCCTAGTGCAAAATAGTTGTATCTCAATATTTTATATCATATTCTGTGAAATATTAAGTGGATTATTTCTTTCAAACTAACTGACAAGTTTATAAAACAGTCTCAGCTTCTGATTCCTTGTTATTTACATAATTGTTAAGCTGTCATTCAGACATAATACAAGAATTTGAATAACTTACACATATTTCAAACATAAATCAATTCCAATGCTTGTAAAAGAAACAATATCATATTACATTGCTATATTTGACTAACAGTACTATTATTGTGATTTTTTCTCAGCATAAAAATTGATATTGGTATAATGTTGCATTGTTTGCAAAATAGCAAGAAAAAGTAATGGACCTATTTTAGTTTACGAAAATGAAATTACTGTAACTCGAAATAAGTTTATTATAAACAATTGTCATACAATATTTTATGATTGTATCATAGTTTTGAGACTTTTGAAAACATGTCAGAGTTAAATTGCATACCAATACATGCACAGTGCTTTAACTCACTGTCTGTCTGGAGATTGCTTGTTAAATGGTTCATTTTGTCTGGTTTTTACATATTGTGACGACAGGGAAAGAGACAGGGAAGGGGATAACATTAGAAAAGTCATATTTAGATGCTTAAACATTTATACATTTTTCTTGGATGACTGGGAATGTGTTTTCATTTTTGCCTAAGATACAAAAGAGAAAGAACATCAAAACAATCAGCAATCTTATTTATACTCTCATACAAATCCGACGGCCTTGTGTTTCGATGCTTTTTTAATTACTAAATTTTAAAATAACTAAAAGTAATTATACAATTATTACTCAATTCTTGATTTGGATTTAAACTTACATGAATTACTTTTATCACTTACATGTATGACTTTTGGATTATTGTCATGTCTTGTCAAAGACAAATTGTATAAATATTGTACTAAAATTTATTTACGTTACAAGACAATGTCTGAGTAGATATGTGAACAAATTTTTCTTTGACAACATATTGTAAACAGTAAGCGATTTGGATATATTATTTTGATTCTAACACGACATCAACAAATAAAATTTTAATGCTGCCGTACCTGATATTTATCTAAATTGCGCCTGATTTGTTTTCGTACTCATTTTCAGCACGTCACATTTTTAGTGGTTACTTTGCTTGTATAATGACTACGTCACATGTCTTTATATAGAATGTCAAACAGTGATTTTATTGTATTATAACACACACTTTCGGTTCTTCTATGTTCAATAGGGAAAAATGCGGGTCATGTTAAAATATTTAGTAAAATATGTTATTGACCCTTTGTTTTCTGTAAGATAAAAGTAAATTATCAGATATATTCCATCTGCTATTTAAAATAATTCATAAAGATATTAATCACTTCCTCAGCTGTATGTGCGTTTGTGGGCACACCTGTGAATTTTATTGGGGTCACAGGGGATTGCATTTTGTAATTTTTATTATTTGTAGGCCTTATTTTTTTTCTCATTTAATTACTGACTGATTCAGGCTGGACTGATTTATATAATTATAAACAATAAAATTTGGGACTGTAAAGAGTTGTAAGAATAGCTTAGAAGCTTAGAACATCTATAATGTTTATCATCTTTCTCATACTTTTGGCTTAATAGTAAAGAAGATCCAGGACCTGGATAATGCTTAAATATATAGAATTTGTACACAAAAGCACATCCTAGGAATTATCTAAGTTTTCAAATTAAGAAAAGCTTATGTATAGAATAGATGGAAAATAAAATGAGAGTAATCTCATTTTCAAAACGCTTATATTAACAAAAATAATGTGTCTTAGATGGTTTTGTCATTATGTAAGTTCACATTTTGAATTGCTATAATTAACCTTTGATTCTTGCAAAAACATACATGTTAATGCATATTTGGTACTTATGATGGGTTTGACAATCTGAACTGTGTGTCACATAGACAAAATATTATATGTAAAGTGAATTTCTTTAAAAAAAATCATTTGACTGAAATTATATTTTAAAAACATAAAATTTGAAGGTTTTTCACTGAAATATCCAGGCAATATGTTAAATTAGTTCATACTTAACACAACTAAGCTTGGATCTGTCCATTTGACCCATTTCATTTATCAGAATTTAAAGCAAAAATTTAGTTACAACCCTTTCGCACCAAATCATTTTTTGAAATTTTTGATTTTTTTTTTTTTGGTGCGAAAGGGTTGTTACTAAAACTGTATCAATTATCTCTTTATGCTGACAAAATAAAATAACCTATCCAATCAATAATAAATCAGTAATTGAATTAAAGCCAAAAACCAAAATTAAAGAAGTATTTATTAGAATGTAAAAGAATAAATAAGTTTTTTGTCTCTCCTGAATAATTTCAAAATATTGTGTTACAACCCTTTCGCACCAAGGCATCGATTTGCTAATGCTTCCAAACAAATATGATTCCTGGCCCCATTGTTGGTCTTTAAAAAGAAATTTCTGCCAGAAACGAACAAACAAATCCTGAAAATAAAAGTATATCTATGATGTAAAAAGAGAAAAATTTGTATTTTAAGATTATACACGGTGGCTATTGAAATTTTTCAAGACCAGATCTTACTCAAGGGGAGCCCAATATTTCATTAAATTAAGTTTTAAGTTAATACAAGGCATTATCATTAGACACAATGTTTTTATTTTTCTAAAATGTTCCTGGGTACTGGTAAGAAGGGACACCTTAAATGAAGTTATGTATATAGTCTGTTGTCTAAACTCTAATCACCTTTCCACTTTTGCATGATGTCATTTTACTATTGCTAATGATGGGCAAACCACATTTTAATAGGGGACACATATTTAAATAGTAAATATATAACTTTGAATTAAATGTATTGTGTGCAACAAATAATTTGTATCTGCCACAGTGAAAACAACCCTTACAAACTGATTAAGTGTAATTCAGAGCAAAACCTTGATTAATCACTTTGCCAACATTTTCTACGTTTGCATCTTGAGCAGGTAATTGTCTACAATTTTCAGCTGAATCCTTACATTCTGCATCAATATAATTACTATCGGCTTTCAATTCACTCTTATCAGCAACATTTTCTACTTCAAAATCAGCAGGTAGTTGAATACAGTCTTTGGAAGAATCTATGCATTCTGCATCATTTATTGTGTAGTCACTGAAATTGTTATTATCGTCAGCTAATTCACTTCTTTAAGATTGTTTCTGTAAGGATAACTGAAGTAATAGTTTACCTCTAGACAACGCCATCTTAAAAAGTTTGTTGCACTTTGTACCTGGCTCGCACTTAGGGCAATGGATGCCGTTTTCTCTCAAATCCTCAAAGTGAGACTGATTTAAGTGTTCGTCAGGAAATGTTGGGTGAATGCAATTAGTATATGAATAGTATCTTGAACTTCTTCAAAGAGACATCTAACGTAGAACGTACCGTCTGGTAATGTAAGTAAAAATGGTCCTACATTAACAATTTGCTGAAGTAAAACTATTTAAGCTATTGAAATCGGGTTTGTACTGACAAACGTGGCACTTGTAAGATTGAATATTCGTCTCTGATACTGATTCCGTGTCACTTTCACCGGAGTAAGACATCCCTGAAAAGATAAATGTGCAATAGATATTATTTTGTCTTTTAAATTGTCTCAGAAATAATACATCAAATATCTATATAGCGACAAAAAGTCGTATCTCGATTTTAGCAAAAAAACAATAACAGTGCAAAATGTTGTATCTCATGTTTGATTTCAAATTTCATTTTTATAGGTAAACGTCAATATACCAATGTGAATAGCAAGCATATTTAAAGACTTAGTATGGTGTGTTGTGAAATATTCCTTCAAAATGTCTGTGGTGAAATGAATGCATTTCAGAAATTGAAAAATATCCCACTCACATTAGTATCCCAAAGCCAGTAGCAATTAATTCATATTTATATGCACATAACTATGACATACGAAGAGCATGTAATGACTAAAACACTTTAACACAGCTTATGTACCAATAACAGTTTAATGTAATGATAAAAAACATGCCTTTCCATCCAAATGTTTGCGCTCTTCAGAAAATTTTGAGATACGATGTTTTGACCGGGAAAAAAAAAAAGACCAATTGTAATACGACATAACGTCATGTGCCTGTACTGAAAAAACTGATTGGCCTAGAGTTACAACAATTAAACATAAAATCGGGCATCACTTTACAAAACTATATAAATCCAAACATTTCGGAGTTACGACCTTTTGACTCCCAACCGACGATATATTGATATGGCATGACAAATATTGTCGATACTATATTTCACAGATGCATGTACATCAATAATTGTTTAGAATTTAATAGTGATTTTTTTTGGTTTATTTTGATCCCAAAATAAGGCCTCTTCACAATGACAAAAACACATAAAAAAAATCACAAAAATGTTTAAAAAAATCACAATTAGCAGCATTGCTTTTCAGTACCAAACAAAATAATAGACTGACAAATGACAATCTTGAGAATTTAATTGATATATTTGAGGGAATAAAAAGAAGAAAGCTGAAACTATGTCATGAATATAATTAATAAAATGAATGAATAAAGTGACTACAGGTGATGATATATTCTTGTTTATTTTTTCACACTTTGACAGATTATCGCGCTAAAAATTCACAATTTCAGGGGTATGGGTAGTTGCGAAAAATGTAAAAAAAAATCACTGAATAAATTCCAGTGACTGTGTTCATTCTAGCTTTGTCTCAATGATGGGCGCATTCCATTTATGCTGCCATCAATGGTAAATATAGAGCCTAGTATGTTTTATACATACTTTCATGTAACACTTAAATGTTTCCAGTTTTCCACTGCTAATGTAAACATATGACCAGTTGTCTTTATTTTAAATCATTGTTTCATTTTAATCATAGTAAGGAAAGTTTTACTTAATCAATGTTCAGTTTTATTGAATTACACTTAAAAACTTGTGAAGTAGATTAGTAGAAATATATCATTACATAACAACCAGCCTTAAGCAAGCAATCTTATTCCAAGATAATATAAGAAAAAAGTACCTAGTCCAGAAATTGTTGGTCAGTATTTTTTTGTACAGTTGATAGTTTTGATGTACATTACTACATATGTATTTTTTGAGTTTATGGCAATGAATTACCATATGGAATGTTTCATAAAAGTTTTCTAAGCAAGTAATTTTAATCTTAAGTAGCCCTACGATAATACAAGAAAACAGTAGAGGGTCAACTCGGCCCTAATCAAACTTGGAACTGGTGGACTCGGCCCACCATCAAAAATCTTTTAGGATTGATTGTTTAGTTTATTAACCTTTTTAGGAATAAATTACTATAAAAGTATTCAGAGGTACCATCACTAACAAACAGAAATTAAAAAAGGTCGGTAGTTTACTGTTTGAAATTATCTTAGCTAAGAAGAGATATCAAGTCAGAGATTAAGTTTTAGGGTCGGATTCCAAGAAATGGATATGAGACATGCATAGAGATGTTTTTTGACCTTCCAAGTTAATTACTGAACCCATTTTGTAGTGCAATATTCATGCGATTACTGAATTGGATGGATTTTTTCGAAGACCACAGTTTTTTTAAACTTTTTTTTAACATTTGAACATAGCCCTTCTGCTTATTTTTTTCAGCTTGGTGGAAATTCATTTCCTTATTTTGAGAAATACACATGTTTACAGATGACTGAATTCCTAGCAAACACATATATACTATACAGTATGGCACAGAAGTGGCAGTTTCATTTTCTTTTAGAGTTTCATTTTCTTTAAACTGTACCGTACTGTACAGTATTTATATAAGTCAGTCAATCATTGACAATTAAGATGTGGAATTCACATATGGTTCGTAACAGGATAAGTTTTATAAACAAAATTTTAATATGTTCCTGAAATAAAAAAAATTAGCTGTCACCCCACCCACTTTCTTGGCAATTTAGGACCTATTTAAAACACGAATTTAACAGTTTATAGCCGTGTTAGAAACAAAACGTAAATCTGATCATTGGTACTCACTTATTCACTTATTGAGATCTGACAAATATAGTCTTGTCAAATAAATCTAACATACAATCTATATTTCCAAAATTTCGTAGTGCTTCTTGTGTTTGTGGTTGTTGTTGTTGTACTGCAGTTTCGGAAGAGGGGGGGGAGTTATATTTGCATCGACCAATGAAAACATTTCACAAATCCCGCTCTTTGGATATGAATATTAATGAAGCTTACGGCGGGGATCTGTTTAATTCAGTTCAAACCTCTTCATTTCAGCGGAAAATGAATATTTTTAGTAACAATTCGGCCGAACTGTTTGGCGGTGTAAAAACCCGTCAGTATACATACTAGAACAGAATAGAACTGATTTCGTCAGAGTAGCATAAATCATACGAGCGATTCGGCGTTGTAATTTCGATGTAGCGCAGTAGCTCTAATATCGGAAAATTTAGACGGTTGATCAATAGGAATTACATTTCAGTTGAGTTAGTCGAGTTAATGACTGAGTAGCGCTTTGACAGTTATAACGGCGGAGTGGATAGTTGACGGCGGGGCAGGAATTTTTTAACGCCGGGGCGGGTTTTTTAACGGCGGATTTCCGTCAGTAGAAATTTCATTTGAGTTAAATTATAACGGCGGCATCTTCCGGCCGGACAAGTATTACGGCGGAGTGGATAGCTTATGGCGGAGCGGGTATTTCTAACGGCGGATTTCCGTCATTAGAAATTTACACTGAATTATATAGTAACGGCGGAAGGATCCCATACCGCTTTCCATATTTAATAGATGTATTGAAGTACATACAACAATAAACGGTACATTCGGCCGAGTTTTAATCCGTGCCAATGAAAACGAAAGTTGAAAATGCGGGATCTATTTACGGATAGCCAATATTTTGGAGTTCGTTATAAAAGTGTAATTTTCTGTACTTTTAACTAAATTGGGACTAAGAAATGAGTTCCTTATAAGCGATAATTCCTTATAACCGTGTTCGCTATAACCATATATTTTTATATTAAATAAAGAAGGGCAAAATTCGGGCCAAAATAAATTGTTCCCTATAACCGGAAATTCGCTATAACCGTGTTCGCTATAATTGAAGTTTACTGTAATTACATTATAAAATAAGATTATATTAGTACAAGTATCATATTCTACAAATATGTAGCTAAAATTCAAACAGATTAGATAGACATCTGTTTCTTCTAAAATGTATATAACAGTCGATGGATACAATGTAAGAGAGGCAACTTTTCAATGTTCTTCTAAAGTAATTAACTTGAGAGAGAATCGGTCAGTTTTTCTTCTTCCTTGATACGCCTCCAATGTATTCTTTTTTCTACGTAAACTTATGAATTGTTTAAATCGGTTTATGTATTGTCATGTGCACAATGGATTTCCTATTTGTTATTTACCGGCATTTTTTTAGCAATTTCTGTCAAATCTTACATTATGAGTCATGTTATAGTGTTATTTATGTATTCACGATTGTTTTTGTTGGCACATTGTAGATACCTCAAATACATAGACGTATAAAAATAAGCTTGTTGTAAGTGATTGATTTAGAAAAAAATGGCGCTGAACGATAGAAATCAGATTCGTTGAACTCAATATACGACCCACTATGTAAACCTTGCATAATTTAGCTTTAAATTAAATCGCATAGGCTTTTGATGACTAACTAATGATAAAGTTATTACAGTTACATGAGTATTGATATTTAAATTTTTATTTATATTTTCTTGTATATTTTCTTTTTATCTTGTGTCTTTAAAATTAAATAAAAGTAAGTACAAATATTGATTCTCATTTAAAAAAAAAACAACAACAAAAAACAGCAACAACAAATAACAAAAGAAAACTAAATAACATTTAATATAAATTATATCAAATTTGTAATAGGAAGTTCATAAGTTAAAGGAAAAGTTTGCCCGCCCCAAACAATTAATGTAATGTTTTCTTGTGAAATGGGTGGCATTTTACTATTGAATCATGGCTTATTTTGGATAAAAGCCGATAATGTCATCCATAGAACTTGTTAAATATCCCGCAGCACAGCCGACGAGTTATTAGACAATTCAAGAGTTGACAATATCGACAAACATCCCGGCAGTCATGTCTTATTTATTTTATTGTACTGAAAACCACTCAACTACAATACAAATTACTTAAACAACTAAAGAAAACTCCACAAAGGAATTTCAACTTCATGACTTCCCGATTTCAGCTTACGAATACACGATTTCAACTTCATAAAATTGAAATCGTAATTTTGTGAAGTTGAAATCGTGAATCCGTAAAGTTGAAATCGTGAATTGACGTAGTTGAATTTATGAAGTTGAAAGCGTAAATTCGCCAAGTCGACATCGTGAACTCATGAAGTTGAAATTGGGAATTTATGAATTTATGAAGTTGAAATCGTGGATTTATGAAGTTGAAATCGGGAATTAATCAGCCTGAAATCTTGAATTCGTGAATTCCGTATGTTGCAAACGTAAAATCACGAAGGTTAAATTTTGAATTCATAAAGTAAAAATCGGGAATTCATGAAGTACGAAAGACCGGTGAGGGACATTTCAACTTCATAAATTCTCGAGATTTCATCCTCATGAATACCCGGTTTCAACTTCACGAATACACGATTTAGATTTCATGAATTCACGATTTTAACTCATGAATTCACGATTTAAGCTTCACAATTTCAACTTCATGAATTCATGATTTCAACCTCACAAATTCACGATTTCAACTTCAAAAACTTACGATTTCAGCTTCACGAATTCTCGATTTCACCTTCATAAAATTGAAATCGTGAATTCGTGAAGTTGAAATCGTAAATTCAAGAAGTGGAATTCATGAAGTTGAAATCGTAATTCATGAATTCGTGAAGTAGAAATCGATATTCATGACGCTATTGTCTAGAATTCGTGAATTCCGTATTTGAAAACTTGATTTCACGAAGGTAAAAGATGAAATCGTGAAATCATGAAATCGAAATGGCCCTACCGGTCTTTCGTGCGTATGACACCGTAATGCTGTATAATAATTACTTCTGACGTATCATCATTGTTGACGTCTTAAGGTGAAGAAGTCGTGCCTTATGAAACCATATGCACCAACCATTGTCTAAAATGGAAATAGTTGTAATACCTTCACAAAATGATAAACCAAAGCGTGTCTAGTCATGGCTGTCTTCAAGCCAATCACTTTAATGATGATAAAACAAACAAGTATATGTTCTTAAAGGGACTCCACTGAGGTTTTTTTGACATAATCGGACTAATAATTTTTTTCCAGATAAATGTACTATTTGATGTAGGTTTAGACAACTAATTTTGTGCAAAATATCAGATCATTCACGCACTTCATTTTTCCTGAATAATTATTCAAATTGTAAAAAAATGACCCAAAATGAAAAGCATTTCAAAACTTTTCACTCCAATCGGCCTAAGAAAAGCATAAAAATACGATTTTCAATTTATTTTAAATTATATTTCTGAACTATCTTTGCATATATTTCTGTTTAAAGTGCACCAGCTCATTTATGTAAGAAATTCAAATGTTATGTTTTTGGACTTTTAAACCTCAGTGGAGTCCTTTTAATATGCTCCTCCATTTATTGAATAAAGTTATGCTCTTATCGCCCCTCAGAGTTTGTTTGCGTGCCTGTCTGGCCGTCTGAATAACACTCATATATTTTTTATTTGCAGCTGGTCACCCGTACCGGCAATTGACACTTAACCAAGATTTGAAGGTAAGCATTTAATGTAGGGAAACTTATATTAGTACATGGTTCTCCTTAACGTCCTGTACGGCCATATTTGTCAGTAGGTGCACGGCTCGAAAATTTGAAAATGTGAGCGGCAGCCATCTGGATTCAAATTTTAACAAACAACATTTATTTTAAGATCCCCCGAAAGCATACAGAGCTGATTTCTATACTCTATTATTTGAATAGAAATAAATGTATGTCTGTCTTGATTGTGGTATCTCGTTGAGTAGGTTTGGCATTTTACAGAGACCCATTAAATGTAAACACTCTGAAGCTGTGCAGAAAACTACATTACCGCTACAGGTTAGGTCGGCGGGGATAAGTACATTTCAACATCCGTTCTCTATAGTTTTATCGAGGCCCGAGCGGTAGCGGAAAAAAACTGAAGGGACCAGAAAACTCCTTTGGCCGATCTAGTACGCCCAGCGCCTGAGATAATTATATGTTGTTACGGACAATGGCAGCCTTTGAACGACAAATATCAGCGTACAATATCCCGGATCGAATTTGTACACGGTATTCCCGAGTACTTAAACGTTTTCCACTATATCAGACCTGACAAAAGGAATCTATTGGTCTTTGACGATTTAATGACTGAAGCTAAATGCAACCAGAGGATTGCGGATCTCTTCACCAAGGGTAGTCATCACAGAATCATAAACATTGACGCAAAATTTATTCTCGCATGGAAAGTAATGTAGAGATGGCGCATTGTATAAGCATTATATCGTATTGGTCAATAATCCTATAGATAGACAGAAAGTTGAGACGTTGGCGAGAAGAATTTATCCCTCATCCAATGCCATTTTTATTAAACGCTTCCAAAACGCAACTTCTAGATCGCACGGCTATTTGGTTGTAGACTTAAAATCGTGTACCCCGGAACAGGACCGTTTGCGCGAAAATGTATTCGAGATAGAATGTCGGGCTACTAAAAAGAGAAAACTAACAGACGAAAACGCGTATTTCGGTGAGGGTAACCCGACTATCATGGTGATTATGGTGTAGATGGTGATAATTATGATGATTATAATGAGGTGAATGATAAAAAGCATGTAGAGATTGGTCATTAGAGACAATCTTTCTTTATGGGGCCTCCTGGTAAGCGCATAAAAGTAGAGCTAAAAAGAAACATAAACGTCATGGTATATGGGACAGAAAATCTCAGAAGCCTTTAAGAAGAACAATTTAAAAATTGGTTAAAAATTACGTAGATTAAGATTACTCTTTCGACAAAGATTATGCTCACGCTGCTAACCATGAATTGCCACATTTGAGAAAAAAGTTGAGATGAAATTATGCCAAGTTTTTGGATTGACTTTAACTCATTACAAGAGGACCCTACGCAGCAACGAATTCTCCAGTCCGCAAAGAAATTTAGACATCAACACGACATGACAATCGCAGAATCTATCCGGCAAGCCGTTAAACTTAGACAATTCCTATCATGGCCTTCTCATGACATCAAGGAGATGAATAAAATAATGACATTGAAAATCAGGACACCTGGTGGGAAATTGTAAGAATGATCTTTGCTCTTTTACTTTCAAAACACAAGGTGGGCTCTAAAGAAGTCTACGATCAAAACATGCGTCAAAACATGGGTACCCTATACACCCGACCCAGAAAAATTGAATCAGTATTTTAAGGATTTGACAGGCGGTTACGTTACACCCGATCATTATTGGTAGTGGTAATTCACGTAGAAAGCTCAAAACAATTGAAGCAAAACCCAATTAAGCGGAAGAAAATTAAAAAAAAAACGGAAGAGAAGTTCCACAATTCATATAATCTATAATGATAAAGCTGGTTTTAAGTATTCAAATTCTCTCTTTTCAATTTATAAAAGAAGTTTGAAAACAGTTTGCAAAAATACTCACATATTATTAAAATAATGTATGATGCGCAACACACATAGCTCTTCATTGTCTTTACATGATGAATTATAGTTGCATGTGCAGATCTAGCATTTAAAAGAATCATGCACTGAAAGTCCAGACCATACCCCGAACTTTTGAAAAAGTAAAATGAAATGCTTCTTCCTTATGCTGGGGATGTAGATAACTCTGCAAATTCTTGTTCGTATATTTATAATAATGAAGTATACACATACTTAATGGGGATAGAATAAATAGACAGAGAAAAAAAGGATATGGGTACAAAAGAAAACAACAGCAATTTAACACCACTTAAAAGCCTTAGAAGTATTATTCTCTATTATATTATTATAGTATTATACCGCAGTGAATCATATTTAATGGCTTACTAGCCTATATGAATAGGCTCAGATATAAAAATAATCTCAAAAAAGAACAGCATTATTCCACTTCTGCTTATTTTATTGTAGCGCGGAGAAAAAAGACGCACAAAAACAGGATGACGTCAGTCGCTCAACAAATACGCAAACGCTGCGCATACGAAAGTAATTCAAGTTTATAGGTGTAACTTTCATTTATCACAGTAAAGTAATTATATTTTAATACAGAAATATGCCATAAAGCTACCCTTAAACTTAAATAGGGTCTAAAGTCATCAGCATATTTGTTTACAGTTACTTATTAGATCTATGCATAGAAGTAAAAATTGCAGTTTTCAAGCGATAACTGTGATCTAACGATTGCTATGTTTTACTAGACACACATATAAACAACATGTTATCACTAACATGAATGTGTCTCGAATAGGACAGCTTAATGCAGGGAGAACTAACTGTATAAATGTCAGTTTTTAACCGGATTATTGATATATATTCTTCTTTTTTTGCTCTCGTGTTATAAACATACTTGTCTATGATATATTGGGCAACAATCAATGCAGGATATAATAATTACCAAGAAGGCAAGAAGATAGTTCCTTTTGATATTGTCATTGATTGCTTAAACCGTGAGTACATAATTCCTATTGATATTATTATTGAATGGTAAAACCGTGAGTAAATAGTTCCTATTTATGTTGTAATTGAATGGTAAAACCGTGAGTAAATACTTCCTATTTATGTTGTAATTGAATGGTAAAGCCGTGAGTAGATAGTTCCTATTTAATTTGTTTTTGATTGGTAAACCGTCAGTTGATAGTTCCTATAAATATTGTTATTGATTGGTAACCCGTAAGTAGATAGTCCCTATTAATACTGTTATTGATTGGTATAACCGTCAGTAGATAGTTCCTAAACATATAGTTCCTATTGATATTGTTGATGGATTGGTCACCGTGAGTAGATAGTTCATATTGATTTCTTATGGATTGGTAAACCGTGAGAAGACAGTTCTTATTAATATTGTTATTGATTGGTAAAACTGTGAGTAGATAGTTCCTATTGATATTGTTATTGATTTAGTAAAACCATGGACATTTTCTTTCCTCTGCACCATTATTCATTATGCTGGTCAACTATCACCTTCCGGCCCTTCTCTGTCGTGTATTGATCTCTAAATATTTGGCATAAGAAACAATATATTAAAACATAATAAGAACCTTGGTGAACGCTTAAATTAATTTCTTTAGAAAGCTAGCATTTCCTGGTTGGCATTAATATGTACAATGAACAGGTGATAAATAAAAAGTCCTTATTTAGATAAAGATAAAAGCAAGGCATATGTTTTTTGTATGCTTTTATTCTCAAACCGTTCTTTCAATCATTTTCTGAGATGCTTTTTCAAGAAAGAAGACTTCAAACCTTTATTTAAAAAGCGATTTTCAAATCGCCCCTAAAACAGTTAATCTTTTGTTACCTTCCAAAGACAATCCCGCAGCTTTTATGCTGATATTTTTGTAACAACTTTATTTAGAGACGTTTAATGCAAGGGGGCCATTATGTACACATGTATTATATCATGTAACATATCTTTGATTCGTTTTAGCTGCTTATCTTTTATCAAATTTAGTGAATAATTTTGATCAATAATAAATTGCTGAAATCACCGACCAAATTAACGCATTATTCCAAAATCCCATTTTGTCAAAGCGTATATGCGACAAACGATGAGGAAACACAACTCGCACATTGGAATTGCTTACTCGTCAAGAAAATCATTTTTGAATCCCTTGTCATAATTCAACTAATATTGGACGACAACAATCAAACATCATGCGAAAAATGAAGACAAATGAAGACAATTGACACTTTTATCCAATCAAACTTGATACTAAAAGTTCCTAGGTAATTTATAAAATTGGAGGATGCATACATATTATGAACTCGATGTATGCGTTGCTTTAAACCAGGACATGCAAATAACTGGCAAACCAAATAGCAAAAACCATTCGAGTAGTATAACCAGAAGAACTGTTACGATAAAGCAAGCAAGATTCACGGGAAAACCAAGACAATAGTAAAAGTAACAAGGCAAGCTAGTATTGCCAGAATACGTGCCATTTTGACAAAAACCAAGAAACGCAACCTGACTTCATTTTATGATTTTATGTTACTCCATGCTTTACATATGATAAAATATTAAACGATGAATGACAAGCAACGTATCCTTGGTAACAAAAGACTAGTCGTCTTCGCCCCTTATCCGACAGGAATGATGTCACGACCCCGCCACTGATAGCAGAGAAAAATCAGCAAAAAAAATGTACGAAGTATTAGCAAATGAAAAGATTAATGACACAAAATACAATGAAGCTTTTGGTTTGTTTTATAATCTCTCAGCCGTCAGAATTTTGAGCATTTATAGTAAAAATAGATTAACTTCACTGATATGGTCTTAAAACACATTTGAAACGTTGATAATGTTAATTTTACAAATTCGGCACACGTAGCAAGATTCATGGAAATGTCCTGCTGTATCAAGGTGAATTTCCTTGTTCTTGGATCACTGATAAATCACGATATTTGAGGTGACAGGAACCCTTAAAAGATTTAACAAAACGCAGCAAAGCAAGAAAGAAAACATATACACGATAACACTTAAACAAGTTTAAATATGAATTTGCTTCTTCGTAACGCCTTTTCTGTTGGTGGGCGGTAAGGGAAAACATGTACGAATTATTTACAAAACTATTTGCAAGCTTTCTTTCGGCGACAAGAAATAGACGCACGATTTTCGCGTACTTTTATACAGATAAGTTTGTCTGAATACTTACCCTTATTAACCAACCCCATTTAAACAAGCGCTTAAAAACAGATAATACTTTAAAAGTAAGAAATCCAAATTAAATTTTTAACATACCCAAATTTTTTGAATCTTTAACATTTTCAATTTATTAAGACTTGAACAGATAACAGGTTTTTTTTGAAAATAAATTGAGTACATAATCTTCATTATTTCATGTATTTAGGTAAATGGAGACATTTCAACTGACCAAATTCTAGCTGAAACTAATAATAAAGGTATGTATGAAACTTATGTTCATTTTTAATGTGTATATATTAGATTTAAACTAATAAAAATATCTCAATATGTTATTTAAGTACATTAGAAATAGGCTTGCACAAAACGCAACCGTATACATAACATGGTAATGATAAGAACTTTATTGTTATATCAATTATTTGATAAAAAGTAATAGTATCTCACTGATGAGACAAAGACATTAAGCACTATGTATAGAAAAAAAGTAAAACGCAATATCTACAAACATTGTTTTCCACCCAAGGAAACAATTAATCTATCTGACGAATATTCAAGCACTTGCACAGTTGTTCCTTGAATAAAAATTTCAATTGATATAGCTTCAACATTCTGATCAATTTTAGAGTATGTCGGCGACCTTGAATTCGAGTTGATGGAGCTTGATATGATTGTAGATAAAAGTGTCAAGACGCCTTCAAGGTAGGACTGCAAAATTTATTCTTTACAATACACACACAAACGAAGTAGGAATGAACATTTAAGTCACCCTGTCGGTCGGTCCAATTAATCTTTTCCGGACGATAAATAGAGTTTTAGATGAGCTATTATATTAAGAATTGGTATATTGCAACCTGATATGAAGAACAAGATTGGAAGTACTTTTGAATCCCCGCCCCCGTGTTCACAAAGATCTTTATCAGGATCAAAGGATCCTGCTTTGGTCCTGATTTTATTGTCATTGTTTTATAAACCTTTAACTTATCGTATTTTGCTAGAAATAAATGGTACATGTTTGAATTGTAAAAGAAATGCTGATTTGCAAAGTAACCAACCTATTTTAGGATAAAATGAAAGAAAAACATAACAAATAAAAAATAATCGGATAAAAATAAGGACCAATTTTAGAATCAAGATCAATATTTGGATCAACTATTTAATGCCCATATCTTTCCAAAATAGCAATATATTAATTCTTTAATTTCCTGATCCTTCAATATTTGGGAATATTTTATTAACTTGGGGCCTGGGGTCAAGGGAACTTTAACTAAAATATAAAAAATGGTTTCAGGAAAAAAAAAGAGCCAGGAATGACATAATGTAATCAAACCTTGTTTATAGGAAGCTTGTATGAGTTCAATGTCAAAGTCACGGTTACTCAAATAGAAAATCAATTACTGGACAATAACTAAAGACTGAAATAAGATTTTAGTATTTAAACTTGGTATAAATCATTCCTATGTAAAAACCAAGTTTGGGATAGCTTTTGTATCCCTTGGTTCAAGATCAAGGTCGTTGTGTTCTTAAAAATTGGAAAATGGTTTCCGAACAATATTTATAGTAAGGAAAGAGATTTTGTAATCAACTTGAAATAAAGAAAAAAAACTATATATGAGGTCCCGCACTGGGAATTGTTTTAAATTCCCAGCAGGTTCAAGGTCAAAGAACTGTTACTCAAATAGAAATTGGGTTTCCCGGACAAAAACGTCGAGGAAGGAATGATGCATTGTTATAAAACAAAAAAGCAAATCTATGTAGAAAAACTTAACTTTGGATTGCTTTTTTTTTGCTTTTGGACCCCTAGGTCTAACGTCACTGGTGGTTTCTTTCCAGTTCTTTTTACAGAGATAATGGTTAACAGATGTTTATACTCTTTTAACAAAGCAAATTGTTGTTATTATTATTGTTTACTTTTCAAAAAAAGTACATGTGCCGGGTTTGGATATAAATCACCTTAGGTGATAGCTCTTGTTTATATTACGTATTTTGTTGTTTCTTTTTCTGTCTGGATTTAAAAGTAAACATCGCCGTTGTTAAATCACAATTTTATCGGAGTTAATAGGCGATTGGCTTTAAAGGCTGTGTATGACCGAAAGTAGCCTCAGAAAATAATTTATAGAAATGAAGCGGTGAATTTATTTTAAAATACATTTACATTTATCGTACCATTAAATATATGACTATTACCAAGTTTCAAGTACAAAAAAAGGCAATAACATCGATATCGGTCAGAATGAGTATGGTGATAATGACTTTATTGTGTTGGTGGTAGTTGCATAGCAACCTATTTATAAATTTTAATACACATTATTTAAATGTTGAAATATGCTTGCACAATATTTGCACTAAATATATCAACACAATAATGTATACAATTCATTTGCCAAACTAATAAAAAAATTGATATTTGTATTACCTTCTAGCTCGCAAAGTTTCCGTGCAAATATTAACAAACACAAAACAAGACGTTGGCCGTTAGAAATACACTATAACATTGGCGACAAAATAAGTAAGTTTGTTTACGTTTTATTGTCCTAATTTATCACTTATGATATACAGAGATGTTAATGGGCATGTTATGTTTATTCATTACAACGAAAGTATCCGAATTAAAACCTCTTGATGTCATTTTTCATAAATCATTTTTTTCGTAGTGTAAATCTGAAATTGTTAAAGTAAAATATTAACCATGTTACGAAAAAAGCAGTTTATGTACGAATGTGTATACAAACCTTCTTTTTTACATTTGCAATACCTCGTTGGCATACAATCTTAACCTCTTACATGAATAACCGTTAGATAAACCAGGGAATTATCCGTGTATTTCGCACTTATTTTAGCACATACAATTTATTCTACATCTTAAACATACAAATACAAAATGCTACCTTTACTGTCTGTAGATAATTTCTCAAGTTTTATGCTATTTATAAACTGTTACTATATCATTCTTAGGTCAATATTCAAATGTCAAAATCTTTGTTTTGTAGTAAACTTTTGTTATAAAAACTATATGACACACTGAATGAAACTAATGAATTGTAGCTGATTAGGGCATCTCCCTCTTTTTAGTTTTTTTAGATACTGAGTTTTTATAACATTGCTCTTTTGTCCCGTGGAAGTAAACTTATTAAAATGGTTAATTCTTCTTTAATCGGTGCTATGAGTTCAAGTTACCTTAAGCCCCAAACCTTTTCCTATGAAAAAGCACAATTAATTAAGGACTTCAATTTTGCTTTGATTTTTCGTTATTCAATCAAACTTAATGTTTCGCTTTCAAAATAAATAATCTGAATTATACTGACTTTTTGCATAAAGGTTGATAACAACCCTTAAGTCTTGCACTTTCTTTATTTTAATGACCGATGACATCATCTAAAAATTCAAACACTATCTAAATTGTATCCAAAGTATTTAACCGAATGAGTGTGCTTTCGTATTTTGAACTTTGATACAAGTAAATCCTGTTTTCCCGAAATGTAGCGCGCACTCGTCCACTTAAAACACCAATTATTTGTTAACAAATGCTTAATTAGAAATTTGCATTTACTAAATACTTGAAAGCATACAAGTAATTGTTTGATTACATTCAAAAGTTGCTTTTTTCTTCAATATTATATAACATTATATTTTGTTGAATGCAAAAATAAGTGACTGGTTTAAATTGCACCATAATTTAAGTTAATATTTGTAGCTATTGTTGCGCTTTTTACTTTAATATTAAAACTTTAATTTCTACGTCCGTTTCAACAAAAGTATCCTAGTATCATAATCATAATCCATTTATAGGCGCAAAAATGACGTTTACTTACATTTGTATTGTCGATTGCTGTCACCTTGCGCGTTGCCCATTTTATAATACTTTCGAGAACTATAAACACAAACCATCGCTAGTAGATCTTAAACAAGTAGACTATAATTGTCATCTTTTATTCTAACACTCCACGTGGTTTTGTCACTATAGACAAAGAAGGAAAAAAGCCGGTGTTAAACTGCCAATAAACACTGGTAAGGGACTACTTGTATATGCGGGTGTTATGTTTTCTCCCTCGATTATATAGTTTACAAGGCATTTAAAGCAACAATATAAAGCATTTTATTGATATTTTCAGTTCTTATAATGTTTTCTTTTCATACAATACCGAAATAATATCTCACATACAGTAACGGCACATATTTGATTCATATCAGTAAATAAATATTTTGACAAAACGGCGCCAATCCGTAAGCAGCGTAATGAAGTCATCCTAAGTAAACAACTCATTCATAAACAAGCTGACGTTATTTCATACACACAAGAATAAAAACACAATACGACGTAAGTTTTTATTGTTAAAAACTTGATAAAATCATGTTTTTTTATCTCATTATTTCTTTTGTTTAATAATTTCTTTATCTTCGCAACAGTAGGGTGGGGAAATCGAACAGCGTTATACGAAAATCGGCACCGGAAGTTATTTCCGCTTGAAAAATAACATTAGTGATCTTCCTTATTTTATCGTGTTAGAATCGAAATATCATCGGCCTGAGAGGTGTATATCGGCTATTTAACACCGGTTTAGTCGTTTTAATGCGACAAAATTAACCACTCAGGCCTACGGCCTTCGTGGTCAATTCCTACGCATCAAAACTCCAAACCGGTGTTAAATAGCCGATATACACCTCTCAGGCCGATGTTATTTCTTAAATAAAGTCTGCTTTGTATCAATTTAGTTTTCTGTCAATAATCGAACGCAAAAAGCTTAGTTTCTATGTCGAATTTCGGGAAATAAATTGTATGTCATATTTAATGTAACTTATTAATTGAACATACATAAAGTACTTTTTCTGAATATGGGGCTTTAAAACAGCAGAGTCAAAAGTGTTCTGAAACCCGATGCTACATTGGAGACTGGTGAACGAGTGCTAGATATATGTTTTTATTGCTGTCTATTGATTGTAGCTAGCTGAATTATTTTTATTGTTTTACCATTGTAAAATTAAAGACAACCAATGTTTTTCTTCAATCTGGCACATTGTCATACTGTATCTCAAATGTTTGTAATGGATATGCATTATGTCTGTAGTTTGTATACTTATTTGTTTTTAATTCAGGTGAAGTACAAAAGAATGCGATCCTAAAGGCAATTCTTGTTTGGCAGCGGTACTCATGTCTCAGTTTCTCTGAAGACAAGCAGGCGTACGACAGAATAGAGTTCGAGCTTGCAAAAGATAACATGTACATATAAAGTTTTACATGCATTTAGTATTTCTGGCCTAGTTTCACTACTATTATTTTGGTTCAATACTTTCTAAGTCATTGCTTACATTAATAAATATATTCTTTTAATACAAATATACAATTGTTCGCTCGCTCGCAGGCAGTATTTTGTCATTTCTTGTTATTTATGAATCATTTGATGCTTTAAACCGACATTGCATTTTCAACATTGCATGGTATATTGCCTTCATTCCACCAGTCTTAAGTGTAGTGCAATCCTCATAAACGCCATCTTAGAAATATTTGTGCGTCACTAGTGACAATAATCATTCAATTTTTAAAAAAAAATCAGTCATTTTAATATATTTATCATGGCTGATCACTGAATGTTAAATAGAGAAAGTAAGAATCCCTAAAGAAAGCCCAACACGTCATACTTGAAAATGTTGCAGGCTCGGTTTGATTGAGCCTGTTCATGGACGGTACTGTCAAGTGCAAACTACCAATAACAAACTGATATTTATTTGAATTCAGTTGATGTTATCTGATTAAATGTGTAAAATATACATTTTTCAAATAGGTGCACGTCATACGTTGGAAGGAAGCAAGGATCGCAGACTATTAGCCTTGGGGAAACCTGCTTTGAGGTATTCTGTTACTTACTTTAAAATAAATAAAAAATGTAATAAAAATAAACATTGCTTTTAATGAATGTTAAGTAGTTAAAATAACAAAGGTTCAATGATCATTCAATTGAATAAGTATTCATTTTTAATCATATAAGATTACTTCATACATGTGTATATGATTGCATGGACAGATAAAACCATGTTGCTCCTTTAACAAATAAATGCATATGCCTTACAGTATTTCTTGTCGGTGTAATGAACCTACCGTAAACTGTTATAATTTTATATTTGTTTTAAAAAAAACAAAATGTTACCAGATCAACGATTCTGATAATATATAAAGACGTTGTTTCAACTGCAACATTCAAAAATTGTTTTTAGATCAAAAAGGGAACATAAATGTGTCCTAAAAATATATCATGTCATTTTTTGATTTAGTCTATGTAAATTAAAGAATATCTGCTTGAATGATAAGCGCATTTTGTCTTCCATACTAAGATTGCGGCGCAGTGTCACCTTTACTCTCACAAACTTTGAGAACAGCCGCATACTGGGTGTTGCATTTTCTTTAGTAAAACAGCAAAAGATTCCCGCGCGTTAGATGTCGCAATTTGTCTCGCATACTTACAAATACAGCCGCACAATGTGTGCCATATTTCCCTTACAAAGTGAGATAGTTACCCGCGTAGTGAGTACCTCATTTCTTTTGCAAAATCAAGCATGATATCTGCTTAAAAAGAACTGCACATTCACTTTTTAAGTGAGAAATATAGTCATACCGTGAGAGTTTCAATTGTCATTTGCAATCAGAGATAGATAGCAGGATAGCGAGTGATCAAGATTGCCGCGCAGTAAATACCGTCATTTCTCTAGCGAACTGAAATAAATAACCACGCATTGAAAGTCGTTAATTTCTTGCAACAGGAGAAAGATAGACGTGCATTGAGTGCAATATTTTTTCGTGCTCTGATAAAAGTGCCGCGCGGAAGATGTCGCATTTCTCATGCTTACGGAGAAATATAGCCGGATGATGGGTGCTATTTATTCATATGCAAACTAAGAAAGACAGTGGACTTTTCTATCGTAAACAGCAAAAGATAGCTGCATGCGCAGTAAGTGCCGCATTTCATCTTGTATGATCAGAGAGATAATCGCGCAGTGTTTGCCCTATTTTCTACAGTAAATAGCAAAATATCGTTCCGCCATGAGTGCTGCCTTTTCTCTACTATACTGAGTAAGATTGCCGCGTTGTGTTTTATTGACATGTAAAGCCGTAATATCAACACTCCTAAATGTTGAATTATTCATGTATATGGTATAGAGGTGTATTTATCACAGATAGCATTTTTGAAATTCATGCATGCCATTTAATTTATAATCAAATGTTTATAAAATGTAAGTGAATGGAATACTTTGTCAAAATACACGCTGCAAACTTAAGGAACTGATTCTTGTTACGACAACTGTTATGTTACTATATAGGCTTTATTTTAAATGAGTTCAGTATTTGTTTCCTGAATAACTCAGTAGGAAGAGCGCAGGAATCATAATCTCGATGTCGTGGGTTCGATACCTACTCATGCCACTATCGGTTTTTAATAATTTTGTTTATATTTTTTCATGTACATTCATCATCTTTCAAGAAAGTTTTTTTCATGTTTATTCATCTTCTTTCAAGACAATTCTTTTCATGTTCATTCTGGAAAATTCTTTCTCTAAGTAGTTTAGTATTCTAGATTGTTCATTGATAGTATATTTATGATAAATGTTTGTACTTCGAGGTGTGTGCTAATTTATGATATTGGGTGGTGTTGATATACTGATTGTGTGCTTTTGTACTGCTAACATAGAAATATATAAGTTTGGATTCTGTAATTCTGTGTGGGAAGCATTTTGGACATATTGTATTTATTTTGTTGTGGACATTGGTAATTGATTAAATCTGAGTTGTGTACAATTGAATTTCGAAGTGTGAGTTAAACTTTAGGACATGTGTTGAATTCGAGGTCTTAGATAATAATGAATTAATTTTATTTTCATATTTTTTGGTGTTATTGTAAATAACTGTTTTTTCTTTGATAAAATTGTAAAATTTGTTGCTGCGTTATCTTCTCTGTTTGGCTCCTAACACTACGCAATGTTCCTTTAAAACGAAAAACAACTGGTCTTATGTCAAGAGTTTTGAAACGTTTTGCTAATCGCCGGACTTTATCCAATGTGATAGTGATATGTTTCTAAAAAAAGTGAAACTTATTTTTTTTCACCGGAAAATCAACATTTTTAGTTGGCTTAGACCGACACTCTCACAGTCCCTGCGACCACTATTTTTCATCATAGGCGCAAGAATATGATTTATTGGTATAAATGAAAGTCGGGAAATATTTTTTGTAGCATTTATTAGTCAAGCAGATGCCAATATCATTTATCTCCTCTTATGAATTTAGTAAAAATATAGAAATTATGTTTCAGTAATAGTGAAATACTTAAAGGTTTAACGATGAATACTTTTGACAAAACGTAGCGTTTTATAAAACGGACCCAGTTTAAACAATCTTTATCATTTTTACGCCTGTTTGAAAAACGGGTCGTATTATAGTCTTCCCCTGGCGGACAGTCTTGATAACTTTTTACATGCATAGAGGGATTTCGATTTCAATTTAACTTGGCACAAATAAATTATTGTGAGGCTGCAAAATTAAGGCCCTTGCGAACAAGGCTAAGGTATCACGTAGGGGTCAAAATTCAGATGAAATTATTAAAAATGTGAATTCGGACGATTTCGTCATCATTTATTAGGGGTAGGATAACATTTGCAAGATCAAGGTCACTAGAGATGATAAAATTATAGGATTTTTTCCTGATATTGCCCAGAGAATATTTTCTATATCATATCTATTATGCATACATTTCTGTAAAAAACTTCTGTACCCGGTCATTTTGCGACAATGTTGCCCTTGTTGATAAATTCTAAATTGTTTTGTAATGTTGTAAACAATTATCACCAATAAAAATTATGAACGTATCTTTTGGTATGGCTATCATTTTATGCCCCCAAAATGCGGCATACATTTTATTTTATTTATCCATTTTATTTAGCCCATTGTTTTCTCGTTTAGGCACACGCATTTTTTTACTTGGGGATGGCACTTGCGTGTCACATTGAAGGTTCCATGATAACCGCCATATGAACACATCTGCGGATGTTTCAAAATTCAATGTAAAATGTTGTATTCTGCTTAAGCCGGTGCTAGGGGCGTGGACGGTAGTTTGCACTTGACAGTACTATCCAGGAACAGGCTCAATCAAACCGGGCCTGCAACATTTTCAATTTTGTTGTGTCGGGTTTTCTTTAGGGATTCTTATTTTCTCTATTTTATCCAGTTATCACACTGTCCGTTTTCCGGTTATCTTGCCCGGGATTCGTCTTCAAAAGGTATTGGGTGATTTCAGTGAAACTTCACAATATTGTTTGTCATCATGCTTAGTTGTGCATCTTGTTTTTTCCGCTTGATTTGTTTGGTTATGGTCCCTTAATTGTAAATTTTTGAGTAAAATAAGCTTGTCCGCGCTTCATAACCATAACCGATAGGGAGATTTCAGTTAAATTTCATAGGAGTGTTTGTCACCAAGCCAATTTGTGCATACTCTCTTGATGTTCTGCTTGATTTTTATGGCAGTTATGGCCCCTTAGTGTTCAATTTTGGAATACAATAAGCTTGTCCACGCTACATCTCCAAAATTGTTGAAGGGATTTCAGTGAAACTTCACAGGATTGTTTGTCCACCATATCTAGTGGTGCATAGTAACGTAACTTGTTTTACCGTTTGATTTTTTGGACACAGTTACGGTCCATTTATGGTTAATTTTCGAGTAAAATAAACTTGTCCGCGCTTCATCACCAAATCTTTTGGAGGATTTCATTGAATTTCACAGGATTGTTTGTCACCAAGCCTACTTGTGCATAGTTTCTTGATTTTTTGCTTGAATATTTTTTTCATGGTTATGGCCCCTTGATGGTCTACTTTCGTGTAAAATAACCTTGTCCACGCTACATCTCCAAAACCACTAGGTGGATTTCAATTACACTTCACAGTATTGTCACTATGCTAAGTTATGCATAGTGTCCTTAATTATTTTTGGCACAGTTATAGACAATTAATGGTCATTTATGAGTGAGTAATACGCTTTTCCGCCTTAACGGTCAGTTTACAAGCTTGTCCACGCTTCATTTCCTATAGCTGGGGAATGGGGAAATTTCAGTGAATGTTCACAGTATTTCCCGCCTTTGTGTGCATAGTATCTTAATTTTCAACTTGAATCGTTTGGGCACAGTTATGAACTATATGGTCAATTTACGGGTTTAGTAAGATTGTAAGCGCTTCATCTGTTAGGCCACTGGGGGAGGGGGTGGAGAGTTCAGTGAAATTTTCTGTCACTAAGTCTAGTTTTGAATAGTATCTTTATTTTTCAGTTGATTAACTTTGTCCACCCTCCATCTCCAAAACCAATTGGGAAATTTCAGTGAACATTTATAAAATTGTTTGCATGTAGTCATGATTTTTAAGCCTAGTTGTGCATTGTGCCATGATTTTGTTCATGAATTATTTTCGCATAGTTATGGGCTCGTATGATGATTTTGTTTAGTAAAATTTGTTGAGACTATTTCTCCTACAACTTCTTATGGAATTTCAATGATATTTATCAAAAGCGGTCGGGCGTATATAACCGTATTGTGGTATATCTTGCGTATTTTTATGCCAAGCTTCCTTTCGGGGGCATAAGTCACTTTTCAGTGACAACTCTCTTGTTTTAATCTGCACAGCATTTTAGGCAAATTTTTACTCATTGTTGTTCATCGCCTATTACTGATACGTTTAAATAAATTATATGCTTGTCGGTAAAATAAACCTTTTTGGAACAATTGTCACAGACGCCTAGGGGTCAGATCATGCCCCCAAAGTGATACGCTCCTGTTAACACTCTATTAGAGATATTGTAATGTTTAAACACCAAAAGGACATCTGTTTCAACGAAAAAACTGAATTTCAAACAATTTATATAATTATATATTTATGCAAAATAGAAAATACCGTATACCAAGTCAAGAAAGTAAAGATTGCAGACACCAAAATGTAAACAGAACAACTAACACGCGACCTTAGCCTAGCATATGTTTGCGCTCTTGTTTCGCTTGTTGATCCGGGACCCAACACTATAATTCTCTCACGACTAAACTTGTATCAAAATCGTTACTTTCTGGAGACCCAATATGACCGCCAATTTTAAATATGTATATTGTACATTATATAGAAAAGGAAATAAGGGAAACAACACCCTGTGCATCTTGGTTATAGTTTTATAACTAGTTAAATGTCTTTTAAACGAGCGCTTGCAGACAGCTGACGATAGTATGCTCGAGGATACGAAAGCATGTACACCGTTTTTGTACCGGCTTGGCAGAGCCAGGAACTCTTCTCGTATTACTTGGTCAGAACGCAAAATTTAATTTCGATTTAAATTAAATGTTGATTTTCATACAAAATTGTTGGAATTGTTGAAAAGTAGCACTGTCACAAATGTATTTAAATTGTGGGAGTCACTAGTAAACACTGGCATCAAATGTTACTTAATTAGTATAATGTTATTGTAAATGTAAGTAAATTTTTGAAGTGAACATTGTTTAATGTTCAGTAATACAAATGTATCACATGTGCTTATAAGATACATTTCTATGATAATAAAATATTCATTTCAGACAGAGATAATTGTTCATGAAATAGGACATGCCTTGGGATTCTACCATGAACATAACCGTTGGGATAGGGATGACTACATTAAAATACACTATGAAAATATTGAACCCGGAAAAAAACAAAATTTTCAGAAACGAAAAAATACAGTTTTCGACACTAATTATGATTATATGAGTATTATGCACTACGGACAATATGTAAGTTTTAACGTTTCATTGCAATTCATTCTTTATAATTGAAACAAACATATACAATACATGAATGAAATATTCATGCTACGTTTGATTCGTTTTATTTAAATGCTGCCTTTTGTTGTTGTTGTTGTTTTTCAGTGAAAACACTTTTTGATTTTTTATTCATGATAAAAAATAATCAAGTTTGTTGTTGGAAATACCGTTTAAAAATAATCAATTGTATTTTGTTCGTTATAGAGGATTCAAACAAGAAAACCCTGTTTAACACCCCCTTTTTAACACCAAACAAAAAATGAAGTCAGAAGCATGTTTAATGATAAGTAAATTACTTTCTAAATGTTTTAAATGTTTATATTTTTAAGTGAATACATGGCTTAAAGGATAGTTATATAAAGTCAGGAACTCATTACTTATCCTCATCATTTATAATCATATTTTGAATGCACGATGACGTTCTTAATGTGATTATAAATGATAATCTGTGTTCCCTTTTAAAATGTAATACACTAATTGTAATAATGTCTATTTCTAGGTAATATAAAATGTTATTGCTTTTCTGAGAATTTTTAATTTAATTATCAAACACATCTGTTTTCAGTTTTTCTCAAAGAATAAATCAGCAAATCTTATCACAATAGAAACAACGAATGATACTTTTCAATCTAAAATAGGACAGGCCAAACATCCGAGTTTTCAAGATTATAAAACTTTGAATGCCATGTATAAATGTGCAGGTAAGTATGTGCAGTTTTTACTAAATATAATGTCATCTCCTTTTCTGAAATATAAATCAATCTGGCATTTATACAAAGTTATGTATTTATACGAACAAAGGAGAGAAAAATGTTTTCATTAACTACTTAAACGTTGTATACATATAAACATGTACATTTATGCACTCTTTTTAACTGACCAACATTTTTGTTTTTAGATATGTACCATAATTGGTATTGATTGGTTTTTCATTTTACATTAATCAGCCGTCCAATGCGTTGAATTGCTAACTACTTGTATAACGGTTTGTTTCATGTCCTTTGCGTGATTCACTCATAAACACTTGCCAATACAATGACCATATTGTACAATGGACAACAAACCTGATATTCGAGAGATATTAAAATTTGCATTATGTGTGATATAGCTGTTACGCATGAGTATATAGAATTATGCGGCATATATTATCGTGAGTTTATTTCAAAGCGCACAATTTTACGAGGATTAAAACTGTTAAAGCTCGGACATTGTCACTTAAAGATGACCTTGTTTATTCCATTAGAGGCACCTGAAGTGTAAATGCATTCTTTACTGAATTGTATCATGTTTGTACATGAAGTGAGAAAGGTTTAAACTGACTTGTCCGTTTAACCTTAAAACACAGCTAAGGACTATAATACTGACACATATAAACATGGATGTCTATTGGTAAATCTAAACTCATATGTGATTCATAAAAAATGTCCATAAAAAATTTCCATTTTGAGATTGAGACGGTACGAGTAAGTTTGTTATTTCTGTATAAAAAATATTAGTAAAAACGTGAATTATATTATATTTACTCGTAGTTCCGTGCGCTAAAATTGAATGTCCTAAAGCTGGGTTTCTTGGAAAAAATTGCAAGTGTTACTGTAAAGGATATTCCGATGACACACCAGTTAGACGTTGCTTTCAAAAAGGTATTATATAAATCATTACTTATTTGAGAAAGAAACCATAACAATGATAAAGAATTATTGGTAGCCCCGTTATGGTATATATTTTAGTGAAAACCTTTACAAGCTTTTGTCGAATATCTGTATTATTAAAACGTTACCGAGGGAAGAGCTAAGACAAAAAATAAATGTAAATAAGAGTGATCAATTCTCACCACTTCATAGATAAATACAAACTTCACTGTAACTGTTCATCACAACAATTAACTACGTGAATTTATATGCATTTCAGGGGAGTGTCCCAGACAAATTCATAATAAATACTTGTTTGACGTTCTGGAAAAAGATAAAAGCACCCAAGTCAGTAAATACCGTACATCGTTTCCTGACAAGACAGTTTTACATATTTATTCAACCAACTGGAAATGTGCACCAGTTTCTAAGTTAAGATGTGAAGATGGTGAATGGAAAACAAAGAAAAGATCAATCACAGAATGTTCAGTTACACTCAGTAAGATTTCTTTTAATAAATTTGAAAATGGTAGCCTTCTGAAATGCCAACAGTAAAATATTATTCCTTTATAATACATATTGGCATAATTCAAGTCAAGTATTGCTCGAAACGTCGGTAAAAGACAAAAAACACAGTGTTTTTTTTTTTGTTTTTTTTAAACTAAAAATTTGATGAAAGATGTATGTTCAGTGGTAAATTTCAGCTATATAAACATTTCCATATTTAAATCAATGATTTTAAACTATTTGACAAATTTAACCACTCTGATATAAAGAATTTATATAAATTTGCAAACAGATTGTTAAAAGTCCAATAGGAGCAATGAATAAAGTGTAAAATCAATTTTTCTTGTATCTGTTTTTTCGTGCTTTTTTACGTCACGACAACACATTATATCCGGTATGTCATATGGCAACTTTCCGGCTTTACTTGTTGAGAAAGACCTTGGGTGCACTTCCATGAATTGATTTTTACGGGCTAGTGGTTTGAGGTCAGTTTGAATTACATGTTTGTCAAAAGTACAAAAAATGGGGATGTATAAGTGTTTGTATGGACACGCCTTTCTCTGAAGGAAAGATTAAGCGGAGTCTATCTTTCTATTCAACACTTAATCAGCTTGATTGCAATATTTTAACACAAAAGCATATGACACGAAATCATAGTCATTTAAACATTGAATTCTTTGACTGAAACACGCTACTGATTATGCAAGCAGTAAAATTCCGTTGTGAAACAACAAAAATGTAAAACTGTTTTAACACATGATTATATTCGAGCAACAACATTTTAAAAAGCATCAGTTTCCACCAGTTCCATTTAACTTTGCTCTAGTTTTAAAATATGCAATAAATACATTGTCAACAAAAACAACAATTTTTTAACTAAATCTAAAAACTTGATATTTTTTATTAACATATGCCAATGGATTTTAGATTTCAGCAAGTCAAGCATCATCTTTTGAGTAGTATTTTTATTCTGGTAATTCTATATATGTATGAATTATGAAACACTAGACATTATCATGAGAGGGCACTAGAGATTATTGTGCCCCTTAACACTTTGCCTCTCACACGTTGTTTCTTCTTCAAAACCAAATTAATCTTAAAACAAGGCACTGTGCATTATTATGCCCCTTAAAATTTCCCTTCTTTTTCCCTTCTTTTTTACATAAATTGTCACTTTACATAACTATTCTGACCCATAATTTGCACAAATGAGTTACTGGCAACTTTTGTTTGATTTTGCGACTACATTCTTCGTCGAAATACTCTCCTCCTTCACGGCCTAGAAGCCTATGTCCCCGGGATGTGTCTGGGTCAAAGATTAAAACAATATAATTTGGCTTTAAAGTCGCGGGAAGTTTGAAACCACTTAGATCGAGATCCCAGAGTTGGCAAATATTCTCTAAGCCAACGCTTCCAGAAATAACGTAGGAGTTCCTGGACATACTGCCAACGCTTTTTAACATTATGATGACCGTTGTCTATCGGGAGCTAACTGTTCACCAAGCCGGCCAGTCAAGAAGTGATTGGGTGTAAACACAGTGTTACCCTTTGAGCTTGAATCTGATACGTGTTAGGTCTGCTCTCAATTTAGTTTTCAGTTCCAACGACAGAATTTACTAATTCTACATCTGTGATGTTCACGTTACCCGAAATCGCATATATTACTTTCTAAGTTCATCATAGCTAAAATATGGTGCAATTGGTGGAATGAATTTCCCCTCAATATTTTTTTCAATTTACAGAGTCTTTCACGATTGCATGTTTATCAAGGTTCTTGTACAGATATTTGAGTTCGTTAACACAACCGACACAATTTGTCCCATTATCGAATAAAATAACACTTTGCACACCTCTGCGGCTAATAAATCTGTTTAAGGGTTTGAGAAAAGAATAAGTGTCCAAACTATATTTTTATTTCAAGATGCACAGCCCTGTTAAAGATTTTAAACACAAAGATAAAGCTTAAGTCTCGTTTTCCATGACCTTGTTTTGAAATGATTGGACCGGCGTAGTCCACAGCAATTCTTGTAAATGCTCGCAAAGATTGTCCAAAGCGTTCAACTGACAATGCGCCCATAATCTATTTTGAACTTTGTGCCTTGTTACGATTGCATTTAGCACTCTGATTTTCACAATTTCTTATTTCTTTAAGGGCTCATATATAACCCAATATATACCAAAAAATTTGGCCAATGTCAAATTCGTCCAACCGTGAAATGTATTTTCATGACAATTATAAACTATAAACTTTGTCACCCAATGCGATATTCGTACTAAACGTTTAAATAACTATCAATTGAATTGATATTGGGGAAAGGCATGTGGATTTTCGGAATGGCTATCTAAATCCACAGAAGTATTCAATTAAATTCCTGTAGAAATGAGACTATAACCATAATGATGTCACTACATCATGCTTTTAAATCACTTTTTGCATTTAGTTTCCCATCTGTGTTTTTTGATTATCAAATGCAATTTCATGGTAATTTTTCAATTCACTATTATTTTCATTCCATGGCACTGGAACCTGGTATCTATTTCTTTCTACATCATAAACTATTTCACTTTTGATCATTTTTATTATGTTCCCGTCAGAAATAGCCATGCTGTTTCTACCTCTCAATTTTTTCCAATTCCCAAAAATCTCTTTATAGTCTCATTTATAACATCATTTTTATTCTCAGAGTCTATGAGAAATGTAAATAATGTATTTCGTCTTCCTTGATTGGTACCGGCCCGACACATATCCGACCTGGCTGAGGGTGACCCTTCCTGTCCACTAACTTCATTCAATGATATGTTTATCTCGAAATAATCTATTCCGATTTAAAGATCAACTTTTTGGCTTTGTCTTATTGATGTATTTCCTTGAAATGCTACCACCGATCACAATACAATGCCCAGTCAACTGTTCACAAATTCCAAGTTACTTTTGTGTTGTATGGGTTTCCATGTTAATTTCAGTGTTTCTGTCTGCCTAGCTTAAAAGATTCACACACAATGTGTCAAGATTTACATATTGTCCATTCAAATTGTTCCCTTCTACAGTCTCATACTCTGAACTTATTCCAAATTATTTCGCAACATCCTGGTTGAAATATGACTTTCCATTTTATTTAGTTTCGCCCATTGTTTTCTCGTTTAGGGCAAACGCATTCGTTTACTTGGGAACCAAATGCCGCTTTTCATGGAATGACACTACTGTGTTACATTGAAGGTTCCATGATAACTGCCGTATGAAAACATCTGCGGATGTTTCTAGATTCAAAATTTCACCATTTTTGTGTTTAAATGTTGAATTCTGCTTAAGTCGGTGCTAGGGGCGTGGACGGTAACTTGCACTTTCCAGTACCGTCCATGAACAGGCTCAATCAAGCCGAGTCTGCAACATTTTACAATTTTGCCGTGTCGGGCTTTTTTTAGGGATTCTGTTTTTTTGTTTTAGTTCTTCCATCGTCAAATAATGCGCAAATTGGATTTTCTCGACCATTGACATACAAAATCACTGGCACTGTAAGAAGTGCTACATAAACACTGTGTGAACATGTATTTGTATAAACTTGACTTGTGAATGTCAAACCTTTCGTATTATATTGACTGTGAAATGTAATTTTTGATTTTCGTGTGACCTAAACAATATAGCTTCAGGATTTAAATATGGCTGGTGCAACAGTCTGTGAAATTTTTCAATTTTCTTGCTTTTTACATATTCTTCAAGAATAATTGTCCTCTAGACAGGGAAAACATAAGTTTAAAGATTTTGCTTTCTCCCATCTATCTTTTACTGAAAGTTCTTCAATTGCTTTACAATCCCATGTTTCATGTTGCATGTGACAGATATAACACTCCTTCTTTTTACAGAAGAACGACCTTTGATCCTTACGTTTTTTCCAACTTTTCATAAAGACCAATTTTTTTTCCATTGCTACTGTTTAGAATTCTGCCTCCTTCAATATCCGTTCATTTAATTTCTCTACCGATTCTGTTTGCTTTCTTTTAGTAAATATCCATTTTGATATCTTAACAATCATTGATTCAGGGTACAATTTCAACAACTGTGATAACCCACTTTGTATGTCTTCAGCATTGTTTCTTTAATATTGACGATGGCTACATCCAGTTAGACTTCAAATTGTTTTTTGTTCTTGACGTTCTCATATCCAATTGGTCGAAATTGTTTTATCTCGTCTTAAAATTAATTCACAATTCTTCATTTTCCTCCAAATTTTCTTCCAAGTCTCTTTTTTGCTTTTTCATTAGCAATTTCACTATGACGAAGGACGTTTTTAACAGTTTTCATGAAGATGTCCGAAGTCTGAGATATTTTTATATTAAGCATATAGTATATTCGGAATGATCCCTAAAATAGCGTAAAGGTTAGAATCACCAATACGTCATACTTCATAAAAACAATTATGCTTGAAAAGAATTTCCTTGTTTGCAATAATTTATGCACAACATGTTATTCCAAATATACATGCACGTTAGTACTAAAAACTTGATATTGTTTGATGATACATGTAAGATTCAACATGCATTGAAGCAAAACATTAAAAATCAAACCAAATGAGTACTTAAAGATATTGATATGACTTGTGGAACAAAAGGTCTCCTATTAATAAGCACAATAATGAAAACTATATTTGAATTTAAGACATTTCGTTGACTGATAATACAGAAGGTGTTGTTAAAGTTACATTAAATGGCTACTATGATGGATATATCTGTGATGACGACTGGGATGATAATGATGCAACTGTTGCTTGTAGAATGCTCGGATATACGTAAGTTTACACATATCATGTTCAAAACAGCACATTTTATTTTTTTAGATATCTAAAAATTACGCTTTATTTCTACCAAAGCTTTGTGTGAAAATGCTCAGTTTTTCGTGTCTCATCCAATAATATCAATATTCGGATAATAATTATGGAAACATATATTTTAGTTTATAAAAATGTTTTTTTTTTTTCGTTTTTGAAAATTTATATATCATGACACCCCGTTAATATATAAAAGGGATGATCACTTCACAAAAGGAAGTAGATGATTTTGTTGTTTATCTGAATTATAAGGTAAGTGAATATGCGATTGGTTGTGACTATAGAATTATAATTAATATTAATTGATAACAATTTGTTTTATCAAATGTCAATTTAATTGTTTGTAAAATGAATCAAAAATATATCTTAAAACTACGGGAAATAAGGTTCAGTCTCCTTAGTACGAAGAACAAATATTGAGTGAAAATCTAGTTTTGAAACAATATTTAAAAAGGCATTAATCTGATAAACTTTTTTACCAGAAACGGTTTGGCTTACTTTCTAAAACCTCAAGAAGTTGACGAATCTTTACCTATTCTTCTGGACAACGTTCACTGTAGTGGCAATGAATCATCTCTTGCTGATTGCAAACACAATGGATGGGGAAATCATAACTGTAGATATACCGAAGTCGTTACAGTCAAATGTTCCAACAGTTCACTTCCCTATCATATAGACATAACGGAGTGTGGTAAGAACACGTCCGTATGATAAAACGGTTAAAGTAGTGTAATCTGTATTGTATTTTATAGTAAATTATAATTGATAATTACAGTCCATTTGTCTTTATGCATAAAACAGGGTGTCATTTATCGCAACCATTTATTTTACGTTTTTCATTCTATCATAGGATGCATCCCCGCCATTTTTGTGCTGTACCTGATTCGAATGTCGGATGATTCTAATTCAACTGATATCTGCGCCTTTTAAATATCTTGTTTATCAAATATGTATACCATACAATAATTGGGTGATATTCATTTGGTACTTGACAGTTATTTGCCTAAAAACATGCTTCTTATTCAAATTCAAAAATTATGTTATTATTATAGCCCCGAAGAGTGGCATATTAAAATCGAACCGTCCGTCTGTCTGTATGTCTGTCAGTCCGTCAGTACGTCCGGCTTTATACATATCGACAGTGGTGGTCGTGTCCGCTCTGAAACTTCAGTAGGCATGAAAGGATTAAATTTTTCTTTCATATATGAAATAATAATAGATGTATGGTGTGTCGGGAATAAGACGCGGGTTTCTACCACTCAGGTCAAAGTCACTGTGGAGGTTCAAACTTTGTCTTATTTTATGTTATATAAATGCAGAAGGTGGTGGGTTATATAATATAAAAGGTGGTGGTCGTGTTGTATTTTTTCTTTCACATATGAAATAACAATAGATGTATGGTGTGTTGCGAAGAGAACTCGGGTTTCTACCACTAAGGTCAAAGTCACTGTGGAGGTTAAAACTTTGTCATTTTTTGTATCACATAAATATAGATAGTGTTGGTCGTGTGCTCTGAAACATCAATATGCATGAAAGGATTTTAATGGGTTTTTTTAACATATGAAATAACCATAGATATATAGTGTGTTGCGAACAAGACTCGGGTTTTTACGAGTTAGGTCAAGGTCTCTTTGAGGGTTCAAACTTTGTAATTTTTTATGTAAATTAAATATAGAAGGTGGTGGTACAATCGGCTCTGAGACTATAGTATGCATGAAAGGATTTTAATTTTTCTTTCACATATGAATTAACTATAAATGTATGGTTTGTCGCCAACAAAACTTTGTCTTTTTTGTTATATAATTATAGAAGTAGTGGTCGTGTCCGCTCAGAAATTTTAGAATGCATGAAAAGATTTTAATTTTTCTTTCACATATGAAATAACCATAAACAAGACCAAGGTTTCTTGATTAAAGGTTAAGGTCACTCTAGGGATTCAAACTTTGTCATTTTAAATGTTTATGTTATATACATATAGAATATGTAATATAGAAGGTGTTGGTAATGACCGCTCTGAAACTTGGGTATGCATGAACGGATTTTAATTTTTCTTTCACATATGAATTTACAATAGATGCATGGTGTGTCGCAAACAAGGCTCGGCGTTTCTACGACTAAGGTCAAGGTCGTTGTGGGGTTCAATCTTTCCCATTTTTAAGCCCCCGTATAGTGGCATATTAAAATCGAACTGTCCGTCTGTCTGTCAGTCAGTCTATCCGTCCGTCATTCAAACCTTGTGTATACATATAGACAGTGGTGGTCGTGTCCACTCTGAAACTTCAGTATGCATGAAAAGATTTTAAGTTTTCTTTCATAAATGTTAGACTCGGGTTTCTACTACGAAGGCCATGGTCACTGCGGGGGTTCTAATCTGTTATATTTTATGTTATATATAGAAGGTGGTGGTCGTGCCCGCTCTGAAACTTCAGAATGCATGAAAGGATTTTTATTTTTCTCATATATTAAATAACCATAGATATATGATGTGCAACGAACATGAATCGGCTTTCTACAACTAAGGTCAAGGTGATTGTGGAGGTTCAAACTTTTTCTTTTGTTATGTTATATATAGATATAGATGGTGGTGGTGGTCATGTCCGCTCTGAAACTTCCGTATGCATGAAAGGATATTATTTTTTCTTTCATATATGCATAACCATAGATGTATGGTGTGTCGCAAACAAGACTCTGGTTTCTACGACTTAGGTCAAGGTCACTGTGGGGGTTAAAACTTTGTCGCTTTTGATGTTTATATACATATAGGAAGAGATGTTGTGTCTGCTCTGAAGCTAATATGCATGAAAGGATAATATTTTTATATCACATATGAAATTATCATAAATGTATGATATGTTGCCCTTAACACCCGTGTTCCTAAGCCTTAGTTCAAGGTCACTGCTCGGGTTTAAATTTGTTTCAATATTTATGTGATATACATATAAAGGGTGGTTGTTGTATATGCTATGTACTTCCATATACATTAAAGTTTAAATTTTAATTTAAAAAAAAATGTCACCATAGATGGACGATGTGTTGTGAACAATACCCAGGTTTCTTGGTCTATTTAAAAGGTCTCTGCTGGGGTTCTTACTTTGTCATTTTTTACCACCACACATAATATATAAAAGGTGCTTTATAACTAGAATCCTTCGGGGCATTTGTCACGATCTGTGACAGCTCTTGTTCTTTCTATCTTTCTTTTTTTTATGTCCCATGGCATATAGTAATTGTACCTCCGTCTGTCCGTACGTGGTTAACTTTGAATTTATCTTAAGTTACCTTCACCAATGACTTCATTACTTACACACGTACTTATCAATACAAAAGTTCACGATCTCTGCACGTTCAAACTATGGCTTCAATTTTCCAAGGTATTTCCCTTTATTACAACACTTTGAAAAAAGAAATGGTCAAGTTCGATATATCCTATCTGTAATAATTGCTTCATAATTTCTGCATTTACTTATCAAAATAACAATTATTTAATGTTTTTGAGTCGATTACTTATTTATCCGTGATATATTTGAAAGTTATCAAAATATATAGAGGATATTGAATGAGTGTAGTTTAATACTAAATTTATTGAACGAGTTGAATAAAATCATATTATGCGAGCCTCTGGCGTGCATAATATTGTTTTATTCAACGAGTTCAATAAATTTAGTATTGAATCTACACGAATATAATATTCTATTTATCACATATATAAAATAAAAACAGTAAACTGTTAAAATGAGTAATTTTTCAATGACGCGCCTATAGTGTAATGCTAACATTAGCGCGCTTTAACGGTCTGTTCATATATAAAGCGTAAATGACGTCACGTCAAAGTGTTATTACACTAGTGTAATATCTTTTTTATTAAATGGCTTTATTACACTCCTGCGCCGCGGTTTATGTGATAAAATGTAATACTTTTCATTGAGGAAACTAACTTTGAACTATTTTCCCCATGTTATATCTCAATTATATTTATGCCTAAAATTCCAAACATTGTCAGAGCTGTTTAGAGAAAACAAAGCTGCAAATATTGTATAACTAAGATTTTTAAACGTAACAAAAAGATGAAACTAACTTCAATTCATACAAACTACCAACCACCAAATATCGTCTCTATTTTGTTTTCATTTAAGAAAAACAAACATTTACTTCTACATTCAAAACTGCTGTTGATCTTTTTGATGACCTGCGGGAATATTTTAGTAACAAGCAATAACTGCCTTATGCATTGTGAAAAGCAATAATAGTCACCAGCCCGTAAGAATAAGAAAACGAACCAGCGTTGTAAGACAGTCGTTCGAAAATTTCGTAAATAAAATGTCATCTTACACAAAAGCAAACAATATTATTAACAATATATAATTGTATATATTATATCACGGTCCAATCCATTTTTAAAGTTATTTCGTTTTTTTTTTTTTTGTCACTGTGAAAATAGAGTCTTGTATGGTTAACTTTATCCAGCAAGTTGCATTTATATTAAATTTCGCCTAATTACACCATTAAGTTAATCATATCTTTCATATTGAGTTGGTGGATATATTCCATGGTCCTCTTACATTCTGTGGTGTAATGGGATTACTAGGATTGCGGTGAAGCTCATTGATTTAAAAATAATTTTATTCATTTTTGCACTTATTTTATTTAATCGTGGCGTATTTCATGTTTAATTATGACATGCCTGGGGAGGTGCTTTTCTTTCCGTTTAGGTATGGGTCATTTGGGTCGAGATCAAGGTCATAAAAGACAAAAATATCTTTTAACATATGTAATCCTTTTCTTTTGAAAGAGTATGTTATATTTCATGGGAATATAAATTGGGATGTATTCTTCCTTAACATAGGGTAAGTGTACATTTGGGTTACCAATCAACAGCGCAAAAATATATTTTTACAGTTTTGCCCATACAGCATTTATGTATTGACAGATGTCTCTCATATTTGTTATTTGTTACATAGTATTTTTCTTTCGGATCGAGAAGGGTTCAGTGGGTCAATGTCAACGGGTGCCAATAATAGATTTCTTTACATTGGCTTTTACGGTCTTGTTTTATTGACCGATGTCGCATATTTGGTAGAATGATAACTTGTTTGGTTTTCTTCCTTTGGATTGAGTAAGGGGTCAGTTTAGTCATAGTTATCTGTGTTGAAAATAGATCCGACACTTTTGCCCACACAAACTTTATTGATTGTAAGATTTCTCTTATATTTTGTGGAGAGATAACTTGCATGTTATTCTTTTAAGATATAATTTCGGTCAGTCGCACCATAGTGAAATTTTGTATTTACTTATTTTATTTTATTTTTCTGTTATTTTCTGAGTTTTGTTGTTGTTTTCTGATATATACGGCTTAACCTTAACATTTAGTGCTCATAATCTTTAGGTATAATTAAATTGGGTAATACAAAGAGAAAGAAACGACAATTGAAAGTTTCTGGTGGCTTCGAGACAATAAAGGGAATGCATCCGTGGCAAGTGACAATTCAACGGAAGGAAGAAGAATGGAGTCATTTGTGTGGTGGAACAATTATCAATGATAAGTGGATATTAAGTGCTGCACATTGTTTTGAGTAATCCTCATTTTTGCTATTTTCTTTCCGATAAATCAAAAGTTTCTTCTTTAGGTGAATCTTATCAGTTTTGCAACTATATATAAGTTGCCAATTTTCAGGTTATACTAAATGTCAAACATAGCTGCCGGTCTCTTTTTGCCTTGCCAGTTTTTGGCAAATTCAACCCATATGTTTAATCGTTTTAAAAAAACGAATACTATCAAAAATTGTTACATTATTTAATTTGTTTAAAATTTAATGTGTTTCTTTTTTATCTTTCCGAAGCTTGTATTTGGCATGACAAATTGGACTTTACCAAGGTAAATTGGTGTTTTGCCATGGGAAAATTATTTGCCTTTGCTAGTTGAACTTTGTCATGGCAACTTGTTTTGCGAATTTGGCATGGAAAGTTTGCAATCATCATCTACAACATTTTCACTATCATGACCCCGATCATAATCACTATTGACATCATTTACCCAATTATCATCATATTCAACATCATCGTTTCCTTCTCTATTCACGTTCTTGTTACTCATCATCCAAATAAAAGTAATAATTGTCATCACCTTATATTTATCTTAATAGTACCATAGTTTTCATAATTGTATCGGCGAATGTTCCACAACTGTTCGCTTTCTTACGTTTGGAGAAACGGTGTACTGTTACATTAACTGATAAGGGGGCATATGTTTTTTATATAGAAATAGTTTAGTTTGTTTCTACCGCGCACAGACGAATTCATTTATGTAGACAAAACTAACTATTGCGTTGCATTATAATCTCTGTACTGACCTGTCTTTTCCTAAAGAAATTATCCTTAGAGTGAGAATGATAGCATATAAATAGCCTTCCGTCAAAATTATTTTCACTATGTAAAACTGTCTCGTATAAATGGCACGTATAGTTTTGACATCTGTCGGTTAGGATATAATTCAGTTATTTTGGTCTTAAAGTAACATAATGCACATTCAAAGTGTAAATAGTGAAACATATACTAAGGAAGTTTGTCATATGATATCGAAAACAATTTTCATTATCAACTATTGGTGAATTGATTAATTGCGTCAAGGGCGACAATGTAAGCGACCACCTTCCTAATAAGTTAAAAATGTAGCATTTTGGACATAAAACGTTTCCGAGATGTTTTCCTTTTAACGGTCAATTTTTAACTTCAGGTACTGAAACCATGACACTTTAAAATTTCTTTATTTGATGTATATTATCGACTACTATGTGAACAAAAGTCAATCGTGGAACATGCCTAAATGTTTAGCTAGATGTATATGTTTGTTTAGAAGAGAGATAGAAGGAAATTTATGCCTAAAATATGTTTTTATTTTTATTTATCAAAATATCTCAAAATTATTTTTAGTACAGCTTTATAGGCTCCAAAAGGTTACGCATCGGATAATTAAAGGAAAGATTTGTTATCATCATGCCTTTTTTGCAGTTTCTATAGTTAAAACGATTTAGTGTTTTGTATGGAAGTCAAAATACAACTTTGTTTACATTTTCTTCTTTTATGACACATTTTTTTACATTAATCGCTTATTTCGTAAGGTTACAAGAAAATAACTTGTACCGAAATCATTATTTAAATGTTGTTTTATTCATGTTTGTCCTTCTTATTGTATTCAGTATTTTTTATTTCTGAAGCATAATGCGCCTTTAAACTATTTATTCCAAAATGAAGAAATAATGTACATACAAATAACAAAGAAACAAAATAGTTTTACATCACAAAACTTGATGACAATGAATGAAAAGTCCTCTATAGAATTCTTCTCCTTTGACAAATTATATGGTTTGTCTTAAAAGAATTGATAGTTAGGATATACTAGAAAGGGAATAAGTATTATTTTATAAATACAGATTATTTAGAGAAGATATAAATTTTCCACAAAGATATCTGAAATAGAGGGTTATATATAAAAGGAGAAAGGGGGGAAGAAAAATATTGTAGTATCATTAAGAACGCGTCTAAATAAATATTTTCGTTAAGAATGATTTTGTCTCCTCGAAATACTTCAGAACACGATTACTTTAAATGGTCATGTTATAGGTGTTAACGTAAATTTAACAGGTCTTCATATATACACACGCATAACGTGCAGTGGTTATAATAACTATATAATTTTATTATCATTTTTTATGGCTTTAAGTTTTGATTAACTGAAATACCATATTAGGACAGAAGAATGTTGTTTTCTAAAGTTGAAGTTTTAATTGAATAACGAATTTGCATTTTAAAAAAAGTATGTTCCTTTCACAAAAGATATAAGAAATAATTCAATGGTCTGAAGGAATTTCTTTGGTGGCAGCCCAAACAATCACAGCATAAAAACGTTGATAAATCTAAGGGGGGAAATACAGTACGCAGTTGTTCAGGACCTAACTACACGTATATTTAAATAAATTTTGTCAAGGAATCACAGCGTTTAGTATCTATTTGTTTACATTTTTAGCTCCTTAGCTTAGGTAAGGTGGGAATACGTGCAGGTCTAATTTACTTTCACTTAAGCAACTTAGAAACAAATATTGAGGACCTATGTTATTTTGTTTGTTAAATCTCATTTACTCAAAACAATGTGAACAATTATTATGCATTTAACAATATTGTTTCTTGTATTTTGATAGATCTGTTTGTAAAAGCCTAAGTGTTTAATTACCATACGGAATGTACAATAAAGATGTTGCCGGATAACAGATGTTATAATAATTGATAAAGAAAAAAACATGTTGAAAGTTTGTTATGTTACGGTTTTAGAAAGATAATAAAAATAGATATTAACACAATAACATAATTATGATAATGATAGACGTGAATATTCAATTCTGTGAATTCACTTAATTTTATACATCACTTAAATGCAAAATATCACATCTAATGATTATTTGATTGTACCTTATTTCATAGCGCATTTATAGAGACAGACAATTAAAATATGCAAAATAAACAAATAAATTAATGAATAAATAAATGAAATATAGATAAAAAATTAAATGAATAAGTTCAGAAAATTGCCATATTATATCATTATAACATATTTGTTTTGTCTTAACACCCGATAAGCATCGGACGTGTTCTTAATTAACACTTGAAATTCATATACAAAAAATCAAGTGTCAATTCCTTTGAATTGGCTAGAAGTCTTGCTCAATAAAAATATCTGAATAAATCATTACCACTCTCACCGATTATAATAAATTAGCTAAATTTACATATGTTTTACATTGTATCTGTTTGTCCATATTACATTCATACATAAGGTACTGCACGGCTTATTATCTCACATCTTATGAAATATTACCAATGCATTTCCAGCAGCATCACGTGTTCCGATTGAAAAAATTATTTGATCCAATGTTATCAAAATCTTAAAACTTAAATCTTAAATTTTTTACAAACAACATGAGAGGTTGAAAAGGGACCCCATTAAGTTGCAGACCTGTTAAATAATGTATCAATTGTAGATAGATTTCTTTTTTTTCATTTTGTTTAAGCGCGTAAAAATATAGGTTGAATTTGCCAAAAAACTGGCATGGCAAAAGGAACTTGCAGCTATTATATGTTCTTAGATATCACTTATTCATACAAGAATTGAAAACATACGCATTAAACTATAATTGTCAAAAGAAATCATTTTTGCATAAAAATTGACATTGACATTAAAATGTACATTATTGGAGACGGAAAAGTAAGTGTAAACGTATTCAATCATGTTTTGTGGTGAAGACGGGTTTACCGCGTCCAAATGGAATTACGATAAACCGAGCTTACGTCAAACTTGACAATATTTTTTTAGGTGTATTTACGTTGGAAAATTGTCACCAGACTTTACATTGGTATTCAGTTATTGTTATGTCCAACATAATGGCCATTTAACGTACGTTACTAAACAAAAAATGTTTACAAATGTATACATGTTATTGCAAGATATAACCGTTTTTATTTTAACGATGCCAGTTCTAAACGGGAAACCATTATTTTGACTTAACCATTAGCGAAACTGGACAACGAAACGCACTTTGATAAAGCAATAAAGCACATAATAAATCGCAAATGTAATAAAACTATCGCTTTAGCATTGTTTACCGAGTTCCATTTCCGAGCACATCATCATTATAGGCAAGGTCAACTTATTCGTTTTAATGCGTTGTTAATCGTTTTCCGATGTATAACTGAGACAGGTTCAGTGTTATTCGGGACCAGTCCAATGTCATTTGATAGACAAACGTTTATTACATTCATTCTGTGCAAAAATCCTGCGATACTACCAGACGGGGAAAAGTGTGTTTTGTACCAAGTAGGCTCATTCCTGCGTTCTCATAATTTTTGTACTTGATTAAGTAGAAAAATCATCTTTATGGTCAAATAAGGCTGATTGGCAAATTTCGCCATACGAGTGGAACCTTTTGCAAGGTAAGCTGTAGTTTAAAACCTTTTACAAAAGTAATTTTAAAGTTTTCTTTGAAAATAAATTGCATGATAGATGTATCAGATTCATTTAATTTCCACATAGTGATATTTATCAATATTAAATGCTTACACTACGAGAGATGTTCAAATATGAATGCAACACGGTCAATTGGAAGAAGTGCTTAACAAAGAGTGTCAAAATAATAATATCAATCCTTCAGAATAATCACCACCATGTGATATAAAAAGTTTAAGTGTTTCTTATCTAATTTTTAAATGCGTTTAATTATCTTGCTCAGGCACTGGAAAATAACCGACCTAGAGCATTTGTTTTTTCTTCCAGCAAGGTGTCTTTTGGGCCTCATAAATAGGACAAAGTAACACGGGGCAAGATCTGACGAACAAGGGGAGGTGAGAAAGCTCGATAACCCTTTTCAGATTTAGATATTCTCGAACAACGGCCATTTTGCGTGACGAAGATTTGTCATGCAGCAACTTGACACCACAGAGAGCAGTTGCTGGTCGACGTTTTTGAAATATTTCTTAAATTTATTAAGAACTTTGCCTTTGTAAAACTTGGCATTTACAGATTTACCCTTTGGTATGGCAATTTGAATGGCAGGACCTTGATTGGTAAAAACAATTACATACATTTTTGACGCTCATGATGCGTTTTTCTACGCAAGGTCTTGACTTCCATGGGTTGCCCATATTTTGTTTCTTTATGTATCTTTCGCTTACACTCATTAAAGTGAACGCAAATCTCATCGCCAATGATGATATTTGTTTGCGAGAGATCGATTGTTGTATCAAGGGAACTGTTTCAACAATTGTTAGGAGATTCTTACCCGAGCAGGTTTTCCTATTTTGTAAGGAGATGGGTATCTATCTGGCACATATCTATCTCATATTAAATCACTCACGTAGCGGCCCCTACAGAGATACCAACGCAAATAGCTATATACCAGTTGTAAATCTTGCATCAATAGCAATGAAATTCTATTCTTTACTTTTTCAACCATTATTGGCGAAGTTGCATTTTTCGGACGACGTGCATGAGGTACATCTTTTACTGAATCCACACCACTTTGTAATTTCTTACACCACCATATGACAGATGAAAAAGAAATTGCATTGTTCCCATAAACACGACATATTTCATTAAGGATGTGTTTTGTCTGTTTACCAAGAATACAGCAGTTCTTGGTATAGGGCCATAATTGGTCAGTGAAATGAGACCTTTTCCAACCCATTTTAGCTTTAGTTTACACGACTGGATAGCGTTAATCAGCTGTTGTCTAATCAAGACTAAACTTATTCACACATGTATTGTATCCATTGAGAGCTCACACAACCATCTATGCGATACATGTACAAAGTGTGTGCATAACCTGGTTAAACGCGAGATATTCGCCTAGTTGCATTCACCCCTCGTACAGACTCTGTAAGGTTATTAAAGTCTAAATGGGGCCTCCGAGTAATCTCAGACAGTCAGTTTTTGTATTACTATTTATATATATAATCTATATAGTGTTTTGTTTTTTCACCAAGCATTACGAAATAATGCTCATTACAGTTTATGCAATTTCAACCTTTTTGAAGGAATGATAACGTACCTTTTTGAAATGAAAAATTTGCAATCTGTAAATACCTTATTTTTAACAAAAATATACATAAGAAACAACAAAACATTTTGTACACATTAACGTGAACAAATATTTACTATTTGATTATGATAAATGAATTATCACAAAATGAAAATAACATGTTAATATGTTTCAGGTTATATGACTACTTAAATGATTGACAGATATTCTTGTCAGGGGCAAGCTGTGTTTTCTGTGACATAACAAGGTGGTATACATTTTCACTGATCTCTCTTTTGTTTGATGAAATAATTTTAAATAAATAATAGCATAATATAACCAAATATTCTGCTTCAGAACGAATTGGTCAAAAAAGTGAATTTGAAGGAGGAAAATATTAAATCAAGGAGAACCTTGGTACGACTCTTCAGGAAGTGCAAAGGTCATGTTGCTGAGGAAATCAACAGAGTTTCTATGCATTTACATTCTTACCATTAAGCATGCAGAAAGAGTCAAAACAGGATTTTGGACATGTTAGCAAGTCTTACTGAATGAACTTTTTATGACAATTTGGTACACAACAATCATCGATATATTATATATAATTGTTCATCTGGTGTACCAGCTTTCTTTTCTACAATTCATTACACAACTAATTTTAAATGCTTGCACCTATGTCAAGTTCACATAAATAAACATGAATGTGTGTGTGTGTGTGTGTGTGTGTGTGTGTGTGTGCGTGTGCGTGTGCGCGTGTGTGTGTGCGTCCACTGTCATATAACATAAATGTTTGTTCCATATTATGCGCATATTTAGCAATTTGTACACTTTCCTGTGGGACTGTCATTGAATAAAGCTATATCATTGATTTTCAATAATTGATTCAATATAGATAATATTTGTTTTCCTGGCTTTTTTTTGTCAGAAGAATTATTTGTTTTGGCTAGCGTGAACCATGTATTTACTTACAGAGGGAACTTAACAAAACATACTTTCTTTCAGTATTTTCTATTTGTGATGTCTAAATTAAGCATGCATTTCACCTTGAAAACAAGATAATAAATGTATTTAACTGATTTCTTCTGTACTAATTATTTTGTTTGATATGCATGCATTTAAATATAGATAATATTGGACTTTCAATATATTAATGATGCATTTGTACTTTTTCATTGAAGCAAACAGCTCTTCAATGGACGAAAAGGCAGGTTGTGATTTACGTAATTATATCAAGTCCATGATAGATACTGTTTTTTTCATGTACATGTATGTGTCAGTAAAATAAATTGAAATATCCAATTTTCAAAACCTTAAAATATGTTTTTATTTTCGCATTTTATTAGTACAATTCAGGGAACTGTGTTAGACTGTAAAACTTCTTAATTTGCATTTTGATTATTGAAACGAATAAAATTCGTAAAAACATTGAGTAGTATTTTCTTTTCCAACGCATAGGTTATGGTTGAAATAGTTCATCAACCTAACATGATCAACTATTATCTATTAGTCAGTTTTAAAGTTCTAATTTTCAAATTCTTATTCAGCCAATCTAATTATCGTCTAATATCTCTCTACAAGGATTTGGGATTTGTAAGTTCATTTGTGTGTCCTCAGTATTTCACTGAAAAAAACCCTAAATCCTTGAATGTACGACACGATTTGAAAAGTGTTACGCAGAGTCACAAAATATGATAAACAAGATCAACAAGGAAAGGCGGCGTTCAATGAACGCAACCCCCATATGACCCAGCAACGAGAACCAATGGCAAGAAGCCCAGGCGGACCCCAAACAAAAACAGGACAGGGCAAAGACAGAGCACGGACAGGTTAATCATTAAATGATATATAATTTGTAACTGATTAAGAATTCAAAGAAAATATTAATAGGCCCACAAAGGGGAAGGGGACAGGAGACCGGGGGAAGGGGGGGGGTAATCAAAGAAATAAAAACTAGAGGCAATGGGGAAGATAGTTACCGTAGACGAGAAAACAACAAGGGACACAAGCAAAAGTGTCACCAAAACAGTATGAAACAACATAGACATACATCTGAGGAACACAGTGGGGCGCCGCCTTGAAACGGTCAGCAACATAATAATGACTGCTGGGGAGTTTAAACCGGTTAATGGTGCACCAAACATCGCTCTTAGCCCCAACATGTTCCTATAAACGAAACAGTGTAAATAAAATGAATCCCCGCCAAGTGAAATTCTAACAGTTGTCATGGTTACAAAAGGTTAAATAAGTAAAACACTAAAATGATCATGTAGAAAGATATAAAAGTAAACCCAATGACCATAACAAAAGTACTCAATGTCCTAAAGGAAGACAAGAAAATCACCTACAAGGGCCCGACGAAGAAAGGCAGAAGACGAACATTAAGACAATTCAGTCCCAAAGGGCTTTACGAACTATCCATCATAGAGTCTCCCACTTGGTCCGTCAGATGCAATCAAAAGATGAAAGCGTAGTGTCCAACTGTAAAAGGGTTGAACACTAAACATGCAGTATGTCTTAAAATAGTAGGGTCATAACCTCTTTTAATAAAACGTTTAATGATTTTAGTAAAAACAGCAGAAAAATTACCATGACCCAAAATCTTACGAAGTTTGTAAATCACATCGCCATAAAAACCAGGCTGGCTAATCCCTTGTCGCAGAAGAGTTTTTAAATCACTATTGAATTTAGAAATTAAATCAAAGTTACGATTGTAAAATTTAGTAAACTATTTCCGTAATTTATGATAGCGGTAGCCCTGTTTTAGAAGCTTGCTGGTAATAAAAATATTCCGCTCGTTGAAATCCTTTACGTTGCTACAAGCTCTAGCGAATCTAATTAACTGAGAAACATAAACCCCGTAAGATGTTGCATGTGGTACGTCTCCATCTAAATGTGAATAATTAACTATACAAAAGTCAAAGTCATCTCTTTTATCATAGATTTTCGTGTGAATAGAATTGTTGTTGATGGTAATATGAAGATCCAAAAATGATGTACTAAAATTTGAAGATTCGTTTTATTAAGTTGTAGTTCACAAGCCTAATGTTTTGGATTTGAAGATTAACATTATGTCACAAACAGTATGCAAAGTTTAAAGAAAATAATGTTGACAGTAGCATTTTGCTTAAATTAACAAAACTAGACTAACTCTGATTTGAAGAGATCTAAAACAGACTTTTTATTATTCTAAAGTATATTCTGCACAACCATATATATCGAATTACAGGCAACATCTTATTTTCCTTCCTTTTGATTCATGTATTCGTTACTACTGTACTCAATGACATCAAAACAATGAATCTTGACATCTTCTTATTAGCATTATCATGAAAATAAACTTACTACATGCAATAAATGTTTATCTTTTCTGGTTTTATATAGCGATTTCGAAAAAAGAAAACTAGATTTGAAGGACTTACGAGTGATTGTTGGAGTTCATGATCTTACTAAACATGATGAATATGAAGACATATTTTATATTGAATATATTGTCAAACACTGGAATTACAGTGGTAAGAATTTCTTTTTCATAGTAGCTCAGTGGGCAGAAACTTCAGAGCAAGAACATTAATATGAAAAAGTGATATGCACATATTTTACCAGAAAGGGCAGTGTCTTTTCTGCACATCTAATAAACTATGTTAGTTTCATTTTCAAAAAGTCATTCAAACAATCATATCTAAAATTTTCGATTTATACAATATCTTGATTTCATGTAGATGTCTCTTACTGCAATTGAGTTATTTTCTTGCAAACAAAAAATAGGAAAATTTAAAATGGCGCCGACAAATTCCCTTCATTTGATTAAGTGAATTTTCTTTGAAACAAATTTGATGAAATAATTTGATATATACTAAACCATTCTATTTTTATTCAGTTATCTGTCCCCTGAAAGAAAGTTTGTTTCATTCTCTTAAGGCGTAGATAAATTGAAATCAAGTAACCAATACAATCTTCATTTCAAATTTTTTTTTTTGGTACTTTATTTCATCTATATTTAAATATACAAACTATAATATCTTTTTTTAATGTCTATTCACTTTCGTCTAAAATGGCTTATTACTCGAAGAAATTTTTTTTTATCAATTTGCAAACGCAGCTATAAAAAATAAGTGAAACCATTATTTTCACAATGAGAGGAAATAAACTGACCAACCTAAATTTAAAATCAAATAAGGTAATTAGCACAGTAAAATATCCTTGAAAATGACAAAAAAGAGCACAAAAGTCACTATAAGAAATGTATTAAAAGGGGGAAAGTGACAAGCACGAGTATCGTGTTTAATGTTGAATCATGCAAATTTTTCGTAAATTCTCTTCAATTTTAGTACATCTCTAATCTATTTCTCATTTTCAATTCTGAACATGATTTTAAAATCTAATATTTCCTTTTTACACTGATTTATTCTGTATTTTATTTTTTCATTGCAGAATTCAAAAGAAGCTACGCTATCAATGATATAGTGCTACTGAAATTAAAATCATACATTATCTTCAATGATTTTAAACAACCAGCTTGTTTGCCCGAATCTTCTGATTTATCTGAAACAAAATGTGAGGTTTCAGGATGGGGAAAGGAGAAAGAAAATGGTAATAATTATTTAGTCAAAGCATATTATAAATTAAAGATCAGAAAACTAAGATTTTTTCCCAATCTCTAATTAAGGCAATGTTTTAAATTTGTTGAAAATAAGGAAAGCAAATGCGACAATTTATCAAGAAGTATATTTTACACAGGTAGTATAACTGATACGTTAAGAGCAGCACAAGTAGCGATCATCCAAGAACACGATTGTCGTCTTACATTAGGCAAAGATTATCCCATTGATTTTGGAAAAGTGATATGTGCTGGTGATGACGGTGCTGATACATGCCAGGGAGACTCTGGAGGTCCTCTCATTTGCGAAATAAACGGCAAGAGTACAATAATAGGAATCACATCATGGGGAAAGGGATGTGGTCGAAAAGAAGCCCCTGGTGTCTACACAAAAGTTTCAAAATATTTGAAATGGATAAATAATCAAATTTCTAATCACCATTTCGAAGAAGGTTTGTGCAATATTATTTTTTTCTAAATTAAAAGCTCAATGACCCGAATGAAGGAATCCCGTAGTATAATAAAAGAAGTATGTCCCGTTGACGGTAAAAGCACCATTTGTTTTCAAAGCAAGAATATTGAAATATGAACATTTGAAATGCCATTTCGATTGCTTTTAACTGTATAATGTTTTGGGGAGGTATTTTGAAATATTAGTAGACGGTAGCTTATGTGTTTTCCTTCTAGATGCCTCCTGCTTTAAGCTTGATGATATGAATTCTTTTTATAATTTCTTGAATATTTCTAAAGCAACAATTTTTAGTTTCTTGTTTGTTTATTTGAAAAGACTTCCATTGGCGAAAAATGCTGTCCCAAAATGTCGAGAACAGTCACTGTAAACAACAGCATAACACTAAGCCTAAATTAATCATAGACACGTGTATCTATATTAGTGTTATCTAAAATAAGAAACATAATTGCATGTGAGTATACATAAACTGAAATTTTAAGCATGTATTAATGCAGCACTGAGGTGTGTGTGGATGGCCCGTGTCACGAATTGTCATTTTATTAACGTAACACAATGTAAGTGGTCGGTGGTGTTACAAATCTGCCTCATGTATTAACCGTTGTCTGAAACTGTAAGGCGTAGTTTCTTCTCTTACTTCATTATTGCGAATATAAGCAAACTAGAAATGGCGACAAACGTGACCTAGCAACTGAGTATCAAATTTGCTATACGACACATATGTCCATGTTAAAACTGTAAAACTCGTATGAGTATAAGTGTAATAAGAAAAATGAAATAGGTGATGGGGAAATAAAGCAAATGTCTAATGTCTGTAGTTAAAATTGAACAAAAAAACATTATGAAAAACATAATTGATAGAAACAGACATCAAACAGTTCACGAAATCCCAAACAAATTCAGATCGTAAAAGAAAAATAACACTGCTGAGAAGACGAGATGTGTAGGTATGTACTAGTACTAGTTTTGACAGATGGAACAGGAGTAATACTGACCGAATGTCAGAGAATGTAACATAGTAGTTAAATAACTCATTCTTTGTTATCAAATTAGATGATATGGTGCTGCCTTTTTGGCAAATTATCTCAGCAAGGCGGATTAAATTAAAGTAAAATGTTTCAAAACCCATCGAGAAGTTGTATTTAAATTCAGCGCAAACTGCAAATGTATGAAGGATAAATGGTTTACCAACAATTGGATAACCTAGAACTGGGCATTAAAATGTACATAAAGCATAAATCTAAAACATAAAAATAACGAGAGTCTGCACATGATGGAAAATAAAAAAGTGCAATAAGAACATGAATATATATATTAAAGATTTAAACTAATAAAAATATCCCAATATGTTATTTAAGTACATTAGAAATAGGCTTGCACAAAAATTTTACGCAACGGTATACATAGCATTGTGATAATAAGAACTTGCACAGTTGTTCCTTGAATAAAAATGTAAATTGATATGGCTTCAACATTCTGATAAATTTTAGAGTATGCCGACGACATTGAATCCGGGTTGATGGAGCTTGATATGATTGTAGATAAAAGTGTCAAGACGCCTTCAAGGTAAGACTGCAAAATTTCTTCATAGTCATGTAGTATTTACAATACACACACAAACGAAGTAGGTGTGAATATTTTAGTCACCATGTCGGTCGGTCCACTTCATCTTTTCCGGACGATAACAAGAGTTTTGAATGAGCTATTGTATTCAGAATTGGTATATTACAACATTATATGAAGAACAAGATTGGGAGTGTTTTTGAACCCCTGGGCCCGTGTTCACTAAGAAAAGATCAGGATCAAGTGATCCTGATTTTATTTTCATTGTTTAATGTTACTAAAATTAATTGTGTTGTTGAATAAAATTGTAAATATTCAAAATGTAAAAAACTGCTGATTTGCATAGAAACCAAACTATTGTTGGATAAAATCAACAAATAAAAAAACAAATACAAAAATATTCGAATCAAAATAACAATAAATTTATTCTAAAAATTCATAAACTTGCTATTTCAAGTCCAGTTTTATCAAATTAATATTAGATATTTAATCTATGAGGGTAAACAATGAAGAATATTTTATTTTTTAAATTTGATCCTGATCTTGATTCTTATCCTTAAATCTTTGTGAACCAGAAGAAAAGATCAGGATCAAATGATCTTGGTTTTATTTTCATTGTTTTAAACCTTTAACTTGTCGTATTTTGCTAGAAATTAATTGTACATGTTTGAATTGTAAAAAATGCTGATTTGCAAAGTAACCAACCTATTTTGGGATAAAATAAAATAAAAGCAAAACAAATAAAAATAATCTGATAAAAATAAGAATCAATTTTAGAATCAAGATCAATATTTGGATCAACTATAAAATGCCCATATCTCTCTAAAATCGCAAATGTTAATTCTTTAATTTCTTGATCCTTACATCTTTGTGAACTCGGGGACTGGGGTCAAGGGCAAGAGAACTTTAAATAAAATTAGAAAAAATGGTTTCAGAAATCAAATAGAGCCAGGAATGACATAATGTAATAAAACCTTGTTTATAGGAAGCTTGTATGAACTCAATGTCAAAGTCACTGTTACTCAAATAGAAAATTAATTACTGGACAATAACTAAAGACTGGAAAAAGCTATTAGTATTTAAATTTGGTATAAAGCATTCCTTTGTAAAAACCAAGTTTGGGATAGCTTTTGTACCCCTATGTTCAAGATCAAGGTCGTTATGTTACTAAAAATTGGAAAATGGTTTCCGAACAATAACTATAGTAAGGAATGAGACTTTGTAATCAACTTGAAATAAAGCAACTATATATGAAGACCCGGATTGGGATTGTTTTAAATCCCCAAGGGTTCAAGGTCAAAGTCACTGTTACTCAAAATAGAAATTGGTTTCCGGACACAAACTCGAGGAAAGAGTTATGTATTGTTATTAAACTTTGTAAAAAATCAAATATCTGTAGAACCTTAACTTTGGATTACTTTCGGACCCCTAGGTCTAACGTCACTCTTGGTTTCTTTCCAGTTCTTTTTACAGAGATAATGGTTAACAGATGTTTATACTCTTTTAACAAAGCAATTTATTGTTCTTTTAAATATTTACTTTTCAAAAAAGTAAAGGTGGCGGGTTTGGATATAGATCACCTTAGGTGATAGCTCTTGTTTATATTATTTTGTTGTTTCTTTTTTCTGTCTGGATTTAAAAGTAAACATCGTCGTTGTTAAATCACAATTTTATCGGAGTAAATATGAGACTGTGTATGACCGAAAGTAGCCTCAGAAAATAATTTATGGAAATTAAGCGCTGAATTTGTTTGGAAATACATAAACATTTATACACATCATTAAATTTATGACTATTACCAGGTTTCAAGTACAAAAAAGGCCATGACATCGATATCGATAAAAATGACTTTATTGTGTTGGTGGAAGTTGCATAGAAACCTATCTATAAATTTAATGCACATTTAAATGTTGAAATATGCTTGCACAATATATGCACTAAATATGTCAACACAATAATGTATACAATTCATTTGCCAAACTAATATAATTTTCATATTTGTATAACGATCTAGCTCAGAAAGTTTCCGTGCAAATTTTAACCAAGACGAAACAAGACGCTGGCCGACAGAAATACACTATCAAATTGGCGACGAAATGAGTAAGTTTGTTTACGTTCTATGGTCCTAATTTATCACTTATGATATACAGAGATGTTAATGGACATGTTATGTTTATTCAATACAACGGAAGTATCCGAATTAAAACCTCTTGATGTCATTTTTCATAAATCATTTTTTTCGTAGTGTAAATCTGAAATTGTTAAAGTAAAACATTATCCATGTTACGAAAAAAGCAGTTTATGTGCGCATGTGTATGCAAACCTTCTTTTTTACATTTGAAATACCTCGTTTGCATACAATCTTAACTTCTTACATGAATAACCGTTAGATAAACCAGGGAATTACCCATGCTTTTTTTTTGCACTTATTTTAGCAAACACAATTTATTCTACGTCTTAAACATATAAATGCTACTTTTATTGTCTGTAGATTATTTCTCAATTTTTATGCTATTTATAAACTGTTACTATATCATTCTTAGGTCAATATTCAAATGTTAAAATCTTTGTTTTGTAGTAAACTTTTGTTATACAAACTATATGACACACTGAATGAAACTAATGAATTGAAAGTATATCAGGTTGTTTTCATGGCCGGCGAGTTAAAACGGTTTAACCAAACTTACGACCGATATAAAAGTGGGAGAAATAAATGCTTTTGTTGTTGCCCTAGCTGCCAAACGTCTTTATTTTGTAAAAGTTGGCGGGACCGTTTTCTAGGAAAGAGACCTGTCATTGTAGCTGATTAGGGCATCTCCCTCTTTTTAGTTTTTTTAGATACTGAGATTTTATAACATTGCTCTTTGTCCCGTGGAAGTAAACTTATTAAAAATCCGTTTTTGTTAAGTTAAAATGTTTAATTCGTCATTAATCGGTGCTATTAGTTTAAGTTACCTTAAGCCCCAAACCTTTTCCTATGAAAAAGCACAATTAATTTAGGACTTCAATTTTGCTTTGAATTTTCGTTATTCAATCAAACTTAATGTTTCGCTTTCTCCTGTTTAAACCCAGCATTTATTTCGTGTCTTGCTGGGTAGTCCTGTCTGACTGGACGTTATCTGGTTGCTGCTTCCAAAATAAATTCTCTGAATAATGCTGACGTTTTGCATAAAGGTTGATAAAAAGCCTTAAGTCTTGTCTTTTCCTTATTTTAATGACCGATGCCATAATCTGTAAATTCAAACGCTTTCTAAATTGTATCCATAGTATCTAATCGAATGAGTGTGCTTTCGTATTTTGAACTTTGATTCAAGTAGATCCTGTTTTCCAATAAAGTAGCGCACACTCGTTCACTTAAAACACCAATGATTTGTTCACAAATGCTAATTTTGAAATGTGCATTTACTTAATACTTGAAAGCAAACAAGTGATTGTTATATATCATTATTTTTTGTTGAATGCATAAATAAGTGACTGGTTTAAATTGCACCATAATTTAAGTTAATATTTGTAGCTTTTGTTGCGTTTTTTACTTTAATATTTTTAAAAATATAACTCTTTACGTCCGTTTCAACAAAAATATCCTAGTGACATAATCCATAACTAGGCGTGCACAAAAATAACGTTTACTTACATTTGTATTGTGGATTGCTGTCACCCTGCGCGGTGCCCATTTTATAATACTTTAGGGAACTTTAAATAAAGACCATCGTTAGTAGATCTTAAACAAATATACCATAATTTTCATCTATTAATTAAGTCTGCTTTGTATCAATTGGTTTTCTGTGTCAATGTTCAAACGCAAAAAGCTTAGTTTC